AGTGGTGCCAAAGCTCAGAGGATAATAAGGACACCCGTTGAAAGCGGCGACAAAAATCAGTCGCTGTTTTTCCAAAGCAAGCACAGGAATAAAAAATACGGTTTTACAGATTTAAGCAATTTTTCTATAAGGAAAAGAAGTGAACACGAATGTCAAAAGCTTATCTAAGTAACTCCATAATGTAATTTCAAATAGGGAAGTTATAAGCACATAAAGGCCCTGCAAGTTTCCTTCAGATTTTCTGTTGCTGCTGTATTAACATTTCCAATGATTTCTACACTGAACACAACTTCACTTCCACTTTCTCCAAATCATACTTCTCTCTACCCATATAGAGTTTTGACACCTGGTTTTTGCCATTTCTCAACCTACCACAGGTGCACTTCTTTTCCAGCATAACCAAACTGTAGTTTTGCTTCCATCTCTCTGCACTAAATAAATGTATCCAGATAAAATTTTCTTCCGAAGACAGACCCAAGAGTCTGTTTTCAGAACAAATAAGAAGTACCCAAGCCTAAAGGAAACTTCAGACACACAGTACCTGTGGAAGTGATGACATTCTGTTAAATACCACCTTGGCTGGCTGGTATTCAAAGCACATCATCTGGGCAGTCGGTGTGATGTCATTGTACATGGAGCATCTACCTCATTTTCTCTGCTCTAAATCAAAAGGTGCACAAATCAAAAGAAATACCAGCCTCTCAGATGTTTGAGTGTTAAACTGTTAGGCTGGTTATTGATTCTGCCTGGAAACTTGCCAGTTTAAGTGGTTTTTTCCCCCTAACTTAGCATTTTCTTAACTGCCTTACAGAGACATTCCCTGTCCATGGCAGGGGGTTGGAACTCGAAGCTCTTTAAGTTCCCTTCCAACCCAAACCACTCAGTGATTCTCTGTTTCAGGCTGGTGTGTTTGCTGCATAAAAGATGTTTAGAACACAAAGATAATAATTTTTTTACATGTTAAGATGCTTAAATGTTTAACCTTCCTGTTAACAGTCAACAGTATAATCAAGTTGATGGCTTTGGGAATAGAAGAGACTATCGGGGTGCACTGAGCTGAAGTGACCACTGGCAACCAAGAGAGCTCGAGGGACATTAATATTAAAGTAAAACTCACCTCTGGACACAACCAACAGTGCCACCTGCTGCAGAACCCAGCACTGGCTCATCCTGGGAAAGGAGGGGAAGAGACACCAGGTTCTGGTCCAGAATTCAGACCAGAATCCACCTCTGGGGGCCTCACTCACATCATCTAAATAAAGGAAGTGCCCACCAAAGCCCACCCCCACCCCACCATCCCCAGTGCCAGAAGATGGGAGAAGGGCTGACACGAGCCATACTCAGGCACCTGAGCTCAGGAAGCAGCTCTGGAGACAAACCCTCGGCTTCAGTTCCCTTTTCCCAGCAAGCACTGTCACCTCTTTCCCTGGATGAGATGTTCCTGTCTGGAATACACAAATTCATCTGGTTTCACGTTCTTGTTTCTGAGAACCTGTCGACAGCAGAATGGGGATGAACTTCTAGAAGGTGAATCCCTCTCCTTCCAGCACTCAGGTTTGGAGGTTTCTGTGGATTTAGGTAAGTATTAGCGCTGGCTAAGCTTCACTGAGCTAATTGCATGTGGGGGTCAGCTGCTAGATCCCTAAACAGACCCATATGACAAATATCCCTTATTTTGGAAAGAAGCCAGTGAATTAGGCAGTGTATAAAGCTGAGGCAGCTTCTCTCTGGGCTCCAGGCACAGAAGGCAGGAAGGTTTTGGAATGTTTTGCATGGCAGCTGGAGGGAAGGATTTACTTAGGATCAATTGCCCAAACCTAGAATGATTCCAAAATGTGACCTCCAGCAGAGGAATCTTGGTAAATACCAAGTCAAGAGTGCTCTGAAGGTTTTTATTTGGTCAAGAGCAGCCAGTTTCAGGCCATCCCTGTTGAAGTCAGCAAGGAATCACTCACTCAGCAAGAGTCACTGAGTCAGCTGTTCAAGGCAGCAGGGAGAGGCAGTAGTTTCATGTCTCATCTGTAACAAACCACCTGGAATGGGGGGGGAAACATGGACAAAATCCACAGGCACGTTCCCAGAGAGCAAAGGGGTTTGGGCTGAGAGCAAATCTAGCGGTAACAAATCGGTGTGCTGATATAAAATGTGCAGGGCAGAGCAGGAGGTGTAAATACTCCCTCACTGGAGCCAGGGCAGAGACTTCCCTTCCACATTTTCCAGGGATAATAAGAAAGTTCCTTGGAAGAGAACTGTAGTACATTCAGCTGCTTCCTTAGAGGATGGTACCCTCATGCCTGTTCATTTTCCACGCTGGAAGTGAAAATAAGATGTAAAATGGAGGCTTCCTCTCTCTTTAGAGCAAGGACATAAGAGATGTCTTTTGGGAGATGACACAGTTCATCTAACAACACAGGAGGACATTTCTGCTGCCCTGGACAGTAACTACAGTAACATCACATGCTCAGCTTCTCTGCTGGGAAGGGAGGGCTTCTGCATCATCTGATGAGCATGAGTTTGCAAAAGCAAAGGCCATTTATATGTGAAGAGTCTCAGTGCTTTTAAATGAAACTCACTGACAAGGATTTCCTGGCAGGCTTAGGCAGCAACAAAACTGCCTGGAGCTCTGGGATGAGACCACTTGTTAGAACATGTGAGTGGGCAGCCAGGAGACAGCGCTCCCTCTCTGTCCCTCACACCCCAGCTCTCCATATCCCACCACACACCTGTCAGCCACAAGAACAGGACTCAAAGTTACCATCAGCCACACTGCAACAACACGTTTTTTCCCCTGGGTTTCTCCAATCCTGACACAATCAGGTCAGTGGAAAAGGTTCCTGGTTTTTGTGCAAGCAGCCTGTGCTCGCCTCTAGGGATAAAGGTAACCTGCCCCACAGCTGCATGGATGTGATGTGACAGCAGGGTTGTAACGCTGCCACGCAGCAGAGGGAAGCAGTTTTGCTCTGGAGGATGTTGCTTATGGTCTTGTCTGGGCTCGTTGCTGAGAGGAGAAGTGGAAATCACAAGTGATCACATCACAGGCTTGCCCTTCTCCTTCTCCCATCAAAGCTGCTACTGAAGCACCAGTTCATTACATTACACACAAGTGCCTGATGAAAGCAGTAAAATTAAGGTACAAACCCTGTGCTTTTCTGAGCTTGTGCCCTCATCCCTACTCCTTAAGGCAGCAGTACAGAAAAACACTGCTTTGTCAGCTGTTCTAGAAAATACCAGCCACATCCCAGAGCCCTTGAGACCCAATGACTGTGTGTCAGCTCCCACCATAACCCCACCCCCTCCCCTGGTTAGTTTTGGAATGTGCATAGTTGTGTACAGAATACATGTCCTCATGCCTGCCCCACTGTCTCATCCAGCTGTTGACATGTTCCCTCAATGTATATGTGAAAAACAAAGCCTGCTGGAAAACAACCCCTCGGGAAAACACTGGGGATTGTTCTCCTGCCCGGGGCTGCTCTGCCAGGAACAGTCAGCTCTTTGTCAGGGACCTCAGCTGGACACACACAACTGACTGGGGGTTTGTTCTGGGCCTCTGTGCCTCAGGAACGAGAATCCACTGTGGGCTCGTGTTTATCTACAGTTATTGCCCCCCTCTCAAGGTAATTCTCCTCAGTGCTCACCCCTGGGGTACGTTGGTGGTGATTTACCAGACTCTTGTGGCTGGGTATTGTTTTTCACGTGGCCTTCTCTGCTCTGTTCAAGAACACCTGCAGCCCTGGAAGTGTCCAAAGCCAGGCTGAATGGGGGTTGGAGCAACCTGGTCCAGTGGAAGGTGTCCCTGCCCATGGCAGAGAGGATCTTTAAGGTCCCTTCCAACCCAAACCATTCCAGGATTCCACATTCTATGAAAATAATTACCAGGACACACGTGAAGGAGTGTTGGGGTGAGAGAGGAAGGTGTCAGCTCACCTTACACAAGCCCGTAGCTCCTGAGCAAAGACCAAGGAAGAGCAGATTGTGCTGCTCCAAAGGCCCTGCTGATGTTCCTGTTCAACCCAAGCAAAGCACAGCTGAAACTGAGAAACATTTTACCCCACAAAATAAAAGTACAAAGCATGGAGAGAACTGGTTCTGCATTTCAGGCCGCTAATCAACTCCAGCAGTAAATCTCCCTGTACACCACCCTCTTCTGTGGCTCTGGAGAGCTTTGTGGCTTTAGAGATGAGTTCACCATTGCTGTTTGGCGTAGTTTGGGTTTTATTCCCCCTTTCAGAATAGCAGTGTATCACACAGCATCCCACTGAGGTTCCCTGCAAGCCAAGTGTGTTTCCTGCTGAAAGTCATCCCCACTATTGATGTCACACGTCCCGGGAGAGCTTATCTGAATTTGGCTGCGAGGAATTTGCACAAGCCACGACAAACTGGGAGGTGTCCTCAGAACACCAACTGTGGAGTTTAATCTGCCCCATTGTGCTGGTCCCCAACTATGTCTGGAGCTGCAGCTGCTTAAATGAAGAGCCCGGCCCCGCTGTGTGTATTCCAAACAGGGCAGGATTTCACAACAGCTTTGTGTAACCCCTTTGTGCAGATATCCAAGGGCTAAGGGGGCTGATTAGCCTCAAATACCGCTGAGAGCAGCCAGCCAGTAGAGAACACTGCCTGCCTTTCATAGCCTGCCAGCAAAAATCTCGTGAGGATGGTCTCAGCGAGCGCGCAGCCAGATTCCTACCTACCCTTCACCCCTGGGCTGGAAAAGGAAAAGCTGGCACTCTGGGCCCCCACTCTCCCGTAATCCGAGTCTGGGGGGACGTTATTTATGCAAAATCCTTTCTCCCGAAGCACTAAACCTGCTGCTGACCCTGCCGCGGGCGGGCACGCAGCCACGGAAAGCAGGGGAAGTTACACAAGGGTGCCGAGCTGTTTACGGAGCCGGCTCGCACAGCGGCCCGTGTCCCCTCGTGGGCAGGAGGTGGGGCTTCTGCCATCTGCGTGGGGGCTCTCCAGTGAGGCCCGGGGCAGCACGGGGCTCCAGCCCTCCGGCTTTCGTAACAGCGGCCCCCTCCAGTCGGGCTGAGGCAGGGGCGGAGCTTGCCCAAACTCAAATAAACACGGACATGCAGCATCCTACGAGGATGTGCAGCCTCAGCAGCACAGAGCGACACAGCCACCAGGATAAGGCAGCTGAAAATGTAAGTACGTCTGCTTTCCCCTCTTCCTCACCAGCGTTAGTGGCTCGTGGAATGGCATGTTCTGGCTGTGCTCACTTCTGGCAGTGGTATAACCTACTGACTGTCCCCTCGACCCACGTGTTGACAGCTGCAGGAGAACCTGAACAACCCCCGAGGCGTGTTTTTATGAACAGATGGACACGTCAGAGCTCAGCTTTCCCGCAGATCTGAAATGAACTGTAAATATCTGGGGCAGTCTTCTCAGTTTGTCTCTCCCGCCCCAAAGCATTGTTTTATTTAATTAAAAAGTATTTCTAACGTGCACTGACAGTACTGGCCAAAGAGTTATCAAAGCCAGAGAGCTGAGATGTGCCCAGCAGTTCAGGAAATGTGTGTTGGGAAGGGGTTGGAATTGGCACATGGAGAGAAGCCAGCTTGCCCAGTAGCTCCTGCAAGTGTTAACCTTTACCTGCTGGCACCTGTGTCCTGCTGGGGGATTCTGGGACCTCCCCTTGCTCTGTGGGGACAGGGAAGGAGCTGCTGGGAAAAGCTCAACCTGATTTTAAGGGTTCTAAGGTTTGTTCAGTTTGGGTTCTTTATGTTTGGTTTTGGGTTGTGTGTTTTGTGGTTTTGGGGGTTTTAAATAAACTTTGCAACCTCGGCTCCCCTAAAGAATTCCCTTAAAGCATGGTATGGAAGGGGGATTAATGGTATTCAACAGTACAGAAGAAAGTAGTCAAGTGGCACAGTTGTTGATTTTAGAAAAGAAGTCATGTTCTGTTACCCAACAAAACATGTAACTGAGCTGCAGTCTGAGAAGACAATGTCCTATGATTGTCTTCCTATAATTGCTGAATTAATGACACCCTGTCTTTGCAACATGAAGTGCAAAGGACAGTGATGGAACAGGAAAGGACTGTCAGGATGGAGGTTACAAGCTACAGTCTGCCTGGTCATGGCAAAAGTCATCCATGATGGTTCCTAAAATCTTGAGGCTTTTCACCAGATGTGATTATTTCAATGGTGATTTTGAGTCTTTTCACTTGCTTTGCTTTGGGATTCAAGTTTTCAGTGTTTTCCTCCCATGGGATGGAGCACCTCATTCCTAAATGCAGAAAATCCCACTTATCCACAGGGCCCTGTGGCTAAAGGCCTTTAGGAAAGGCATCAGCTATTATGAGAGACCAAACAAAGTCAAGGTGAAGTTAACTTTGAAGTTTAGGCAAAGTCATTATGAGAGGCCCAATAAGTCGATACCAGAGCACCCACCAACACCAAGCAGTGCTTTTCATCCTGGAGCAAACAGACTGAACTCAAGTGTTTTTTTTTTTTTTTTACTTACACATTTCCATTCAAGTCCCACTTGCAGAATTTCCACCTTCTGTTTTGCTGCCAGGGAACACCTTTTTGTCACAGAGAAGCGAAGGCAGAGTAACCTGAAAGATCAGCACTCCCACAGCAGCCAAGAGGCAGTTTCTTGGTCCTGCTTCTGTTCCTGCAGGACCAAAATGATTTCCACTCTTTTTTGTTGAATCACTGGGGAGGATAAGCAGGAATTCAGTGACAACTAAACCATTAGGCAAAGTTCTAGTGCTTTTCCTGCCCACTAACACCATACTGATTTAAGAGATGCCAATGAACCACGTCTGCCTTTCAGCTCTGGCACGATGATCAAATCCTTCAAGCAAACGTTCCTGTCCCTGGACCTGCAGTCCCCTCGGTGGAGCTCCACAGAGACAATGGTAACTGCAACCATGCTCTCATGCTGATTTGGAAACAGCAGTTAATAATTTTGGTCATGTTTAACACCCATCTGGTTACCAAGTGCTGACTTTTGCTCCCTTGCAGGCCAAGGACTACGAACTGCGTCAGTACGAGACGGCCAAGTGGGTGAGCACGGTGATCAGGGGGGAGAGCCAGAAGGAAGCCATGCGCCAGGGCTTCTGGAAGCTCTTCCACTACATCCAGGGCAAGAATGAGAGAGGTAGGACCTGCTGGTTCTGCAGGGCAAAGTGATGGAGATGAGGAGTATGAAGCAGCTTTGACAACTGTCTCTCCTCTCCTCTAGAAACAAAGATTGACATGACTGTGCCAGTGACCTGCCTGGTGAAATCTGGCTGCACAGACTTCAAGATCTCGTTCTTTGTGCCCTTTGAACACCAGGACTCCCCTCCCCAGCCCACGGACTCGGATGTGTTCGTGGAGGAGCGGAAGGCGGCGGCGATCTTTGTCCGGTGAGCATGAACCCAGCTCGCTGGGAGCCCTCACTGACGAGTGGGATACTCTCTTGGATGATTTTTACTCATGGATATATCCTGCTGTCCAGAGCTTTCATTGCTCAAACCCAAGCACCTGGAAATATTACATTCAGGTGTCTTATTAAGCACGACATGCCCAAGTTTCAAAATGTTAATTTGCTAGTGAATTTGAATATATTGCAATGAGTTTTAGGGAGGTGCAGCCTCCAGAATCTTGGACAGTTTGTACTACAAAATCACTCTTACAGCACCCTTAACATGTAGCTTCAAACTCCCACACTGCATGGCAGTTCTTTATTACAGGAAAAGCACCCAAAGCAACACCTGGGCTGTGTGTCAACCAACTCTCAGAATCAAAATCAACTTCTGTGGTTAGCTATTTCAAATCTTGCTTTTAAATCCAACATAAATCCTCTTCAACAGCTTGTTCCACAGAGTTTATCTAGTAACTAACTGCATCACAAGTGTTTGAACACTGCATGCTTTGCAAACCAGAAATCTTCTTCTGTGCAAATTAAAACCAGGGGTTTGAACTCTTAATAAAAACATCCCCTTTTTTCACTTCTACCAGGTCCTTTGGTGGATTTGCCTCCCCAGAGAAATATGCTGAGGAAGCTGAAGTCTTGGCCAGAACCTTAAGGAACAGAGGCCAACCATTCCATGAAGATTTCTTCTACACTGCAGGCTATGACAGCCCCTTCAAGCTCTTTAACAGGCACAACGAAGTGTGGTATTTTAAAAAGTAACATGGTGGGGGGAGTATTAAGAGGCTACTAATCAGCTCCAGATGAAAACAGACCTTAATATTAATGGCTTTTGCTTTAGTGCAGAAGAGATTTAATTTGCACATGGACACAGAATGTCTAATTCATTTTCTCTAGGATGACATACTGTTGTGGCTCAAATGATTTCAACTCCATCTACAAAATGTACATTAAATTCAAGCAGATTGTACCAGGTAGAGTAGGGAGGTATCACAAGCTTACTCTTAATTGAAAGGTTCTAGGGAACACCAATAATCTGAAAATAGTCCTTCCCAAAGTTTGGATGTCTAGCTTTACTTCTCATTAGAAGTGCCACAGCAACAGCTCAACGTGTCATGGAGAACGAGTTCTCCATGGAGCTGACTTTCCCAATACTGACATCACCCCTGAGACAGAGGAACTTAAAAATGGATTTTTAAAAGAAATCTACAAATTAATGAGTTTTGGGAAGCAGAAACACCTTAGCAGGCTTTACTGACTCATAATTAATATCTTGGTTTTTTAATTGGTAGTATAAAACCCCCCCAGCTCTTCACTTTTTTTCCCCTCACGGAGGCCAAATGCTGCCTTGCTCAATTCCAGAGAGAAAGGGTTAACAAATCCAAGCTGTGGCTTGCTCTGTGCACACCTGGACACATCATACCAGGATTACTGGGGGCATTTTAGTAGCAAATATTGAAGTAGTTAAGTTAGCTCTCACCTACAACACACTAATTAGCACATCAATTATCTGCCTTTGTCTCATTGTGGGTATTGGCCAGGCCAGCTGCAGCCTCACACCAGCAGCACTGTTAAGACACTTGCAAGGCATTTAACCTAATTTAGTCCCTGCTCTCAATCAAGCATTTGAAGCTTTTACACAGTAGCCTAGAGCTGTTCCAGTCAGAAAGGAGGTCACAACAACAGGCAGAGTTTGCAGGTTTTTATTGGCTCCAACCAGGGTCAGGCAAACATGACCAGTGGGGTGTTTGAATGCTGTTCATGCCCATTACACTGCAATCCTCCACCTATTAAGACAGACATAAGAACCACTTTGAGACACCAAACCTGCACAAGACACTTGCTGGGAACATCTCAGCCCTTAGAATTTCATCTCTGTTCAGTGAGAGAGTTCAAGCTAAGGTTATCATCACTTGTTCCAGCAAGGAAATGTCCTAATTACTGCATTTGCACTCACCTTCTCAGTTCCTCATACAGCAGTTGCAGAGCTGCTCGCTCACCTAAAGCCAGAAGAAAACACACTTAGCAGATGGAGCAGCACGAGTGGCAGGGGCTCCACAGCAGCTGTGTAACCTCAGCACAAAGTGGAACGGAAAGGGTAAAATCACAGGAATTCATCTGGCAGAATCAATCTCATCAGCGGCTACAAACACTCCCAGTCAGACATCACACAGTTCAGCTGTTGGACTCACCCAGCAGGGCTGCAGAACAGCACAGTCCTTTCCTGAGGAACAGAGAGGTGCTTTCAGAATGACAGACAGCAGCACTACATGTAAATTTATTTATTGATCTATGAATTCCTAGTCCCCAAGCTAATTTTACCTGGGAGGAGGCTGCCTTTAACTGAGTTTAACTTGCAACACCCAAATATAGGAGACACAAAGCTTACAAATCCTAACTGAATTGGAAATACAGAATTACTAACACTGGAGGAAGCAGGGTAAGCACTGAGCTACTTACTTGCTTTGTGATGCTGTCTCTCCCCCACTGGAAAATTGCATTTAATGAATTTAGATACCTAAATGACAAGTCTCACAGGAATCATCCTGAAAACCTGTCTGACAACTAGTCTGTTGGGAAACAAGTTCACACAGCAAATATCTAGAACTTGAGACTAAGTTTGTGTAGAGCCAGTGTAAAGATCAGCAAAAACTGCTGAGAAGAGACAACCAGAGAATACAGGATTGTTTTTCTTTTAATTCCACAGTGCAATGTTGCAATAAACTCCCAATTTTTAGTCACTGAGGTCACATCCTGTGTTCAGTCAGGACTCCACACTAAGTTTATCACTGACTACACTTGGGTGCCTGCTCAGAAACAGCCCTTCCTTTGCATGGCAAATTCAGAACTACACAGAAGTGTTTCTTGCTTCAGGCACACGTTTATTCCCTCACCAGCTGGGAGCAGGAGAATGAGAATACAATAAAGGGAACACAAATCAGATCTCTAGAGGACTCCTTTTAGGCACCACTATCTAGGCCTTCAGCACAAAGACAATATTCCAGGAACTGCAAAGCCCCATGTACTCTACACTTACCTCAGGCACATCCACCTTGTTTCTCACAGAAACTCCCCACAAGCTTCACCCTGCAAAGGAGGGAAATTTTACTAACACTCTCTCCTTGGCAGTGCTTCAGGAGTTAGCTTGAATGTGGGTACTGTTTCAGCACAAGAGTTCTCCTCAGCCTCTTTCAGAGAGATTCCCATTGCTCAGAATTCATCACAAACAGTACATGCTTACAGCAGCTTCATGTTGTGCCAGTTTTTTTTTCCTCAGAGGATCTGATCTCAGCATTTCAGATCTTATATCCCCAGCCCCATCTTCATTCACATCATGCAAAAGCCCTGATCTAGCATTCAAGAAAAATAATTCACCCCAGTCAGCCCTGAAGATCACTGCTACTCTCTGCAGGAGCCCACTACTAAATTAAAAACAGTAAATAACTACTGGCTTTGGTGAGCACAAGCTCTGTGCTACCAGGTTACCATTAACTCATTAACCAAGAACTCAATTAGTCCATAGCAGCTGGGCATTCCAAATGATCCCTATTCTTCTCTGCTACAGAAGTCCAAGATAAGCAGCACCTTGGGTGAGTGAACCCTGCAGGCTGCTGGTAATCTGTGTGTTTTACCTGGTAAAGGAAATAAAATCCCCAAGAAACCTTCTGCTTGGTGCTGCAGCTGCACTGCAGTTATAGGATCCTGAAGCTTTCCCCACCCCCTGCATCACACAGTTCTGAGCAGTCACATCCATGTGCTGGTGACTCACCTTCTGCTGGCAGCACTGTCACCCAACTGCACCACTTCCCAGCTCCACTGCACCTGGAATGATGCAAACCATCAGGAGACAGCACGGGAAGCAGCAGAGGAGGAGGGAACCTCAGACAGGTGCCTGCAGTCAGATAGAGCTAATGGCAGACCTCCAGGGCTGGAGTCAGGACAGTCACATCTCATCACACAGGCAGCTCTCACTGTCAGTCCCTGCTCTGGGCTGCAAATCCACCAGCAGTGCCCTCAGGGCCGCTCTATGTGCTCAGCTCTTCCCTGGGAGCTCACACCAGGCTGGGCCTTATCCAGCAGTTCCCCCTTACACATCCTCCTGTTCTGGCTGAGCTGGCAGGCAGCAGACACCACCAGCCACTGGCCCCTTCCCCTCAGGTAACACACAGGTAAATACTTCACTTCTGGGCTTATTCTGAAACATCCATACTCGCAGAGTTAATCAAATACTCACCTTGCAAGGAGAAGCATTTTGAAAGCCTGCAAAGAAAAATATGCAATTAGACGAGGTCCAGCAGGAAGTTTTGGCGTAAGAACAGTTCCAATAAAATACTGTATCAGCATTTGGTCAAGTTTTGTCCTCATGGGGATCAGAGACCTGATTCAACATCATCTACAGTAGAGGCTGCCTCGCCCCATCCCCTCCCACAGGCAAAGCCAGCTCCCAGCGAGATCCAACACCCCAGGAAGTTTATCCCTCAGCTCCAGAGACAGCTGAAATTGCAGGAAGAAGCAAACTTCTGAACTGCAGAGTGCAGTGACATCACCTCTGTGTAAATACCCCAGCAGTGCTACGCCAGGACAGGCATTTTGGGCACTGAATTCAGAGCACTGTGGCATTCACCACTGAGGTTTAAGAGGCACTTTGTAGAAATCCTCACCACCACAATCGCTTCATGCTTTCATAGTGTACACAGGAAGCTGAAAGCACACTTTGCTTCACGCTTTCCAGGGAAAACACAATGAATTTGCAGACATCTCCAAAAGCAAACTCCCCAGCTCAAATGCAGCACATGAAGGTCTAATAAACCCTAAAAGTAGCTTATTAATTACCTGCAATTAGGAAGGCCTTGTCCTCACCAACATCAGTAACAGGTGGAACAGCTTCTCACACAAGAGGCACAGGTCTCCTGAGTCCAGGGCAATCTGTAAAGCAGCAGAACATTCTCAGAAGTTGGAGCACTAACACCTGATTAACCTTATTCTGCTGTACTTGTGTTTAATTTACAAGCACAGCCTATTCTCTACCCTTCTATTCACCCCACTAAACTTTTTTATACTAATCCCCTTCACAAATCTTTTGGGTCGATCTTCAGAACACCTTTACTGATCAAAAGGGAGTGTTTCCCTCTCAGCTTTCCACATGATTGGTCTGGGACAGCCTGAGGACAGGAGGCTGCATCAGACAGGAGCGAAAGACAGTGAGAGTGATCACCACGGCTCATCTGCTGAACTATGCTGTCATCACAGCAGCCCCTCCCACAGCAGGGACACACACAGGCAATGCAGTATTCACCTTGCATGGGTTAGAGCTTCATCTCCCAGGGCCTGCAACAAAGGAAAAAAATAAAGATGAGGTTGTTTCAGCCTTGGTGTCCCAGCCCAGGGGACTGGATGAGATCACAAGAGGCAGACACATCAGATAGGAGCGAAAGACAGAAGTGTTCATCACAGGATGCTCTGCTGAACTATGCCATCATCACTGTGTCTACTTTGGAACCATCCTACCCTGTCACAGCTTTTACATTCAACTTTTCCCAATAAAACAAAGAAATATTCACAAATTTGAATACTAGCAAGTGTAAATTGTTTCTGGTCTTAGGGAAAACTAATTTTAAAGCACGTCCCATCCTTCCCACTGCAGTGCTTTAACAGCCCCAAGGAAGAAACCCCTCTGAAAGTACACATTTCTCACCAGGTGATGTTCCTTCTGCATGTCTGCTGACTGCAGGAGACAAATCCTGAAGGGAAAAAAAAAGCTTGTGAGCAGGATATTCAGCACTCAAAGCACAGGGGGGAACTCTAAATTGCTGTGCCTCAGAAAACTGTTATGGTGGTACAAGTGCTCATCACCCTCTCGGTCAAGAGTAGCAAATAAGTGTCATCACTGCGGCACCAGAGGGAAAAGCTGGCTCAGGGAGTTGTCTGACCACTGATGTGAGCTATCAGAGCAACAGACACCGTCTAGACAAACCCTGAGCATAGTTTTGTGCTCAGTTGTCATTAATTATGTATTACCTTGTGAAGTGGCATCAAGGCTGTGCATTTGGGGGCGGACCTGGAAGAGACAGAACAGGTTCAGGGGCTTGCAGAGCTTTGGGAGCTCCTCTGGCAGCCACACCAAGCACAGAAAAAAGCCTCAGCACGGAGTTTTCAGAAATCACTTCTGTCCACTACTCTTTACTCTGAAACCATCACAGGCTCTGTGGTTCACTCAACAGCAATCCCCTCAGTTCACTCTTCCTGCAGCACGCTCAAGGCACTTCTCCCAAAACAACAATTTAGTTTTTGTTCCATCTATTTACTATTTATTGCTGTGAATGGTGAAACAGCAGTAAAGAAAGGGATCCGGGGCACTATTGTGGCCTGGTTACAGCATGACCAGCGGTTCAGAAACACCTCCCAAACCCTCTCCAGGACAAAGAAACAGGTGACTTTTCTCAGTAAACAAATAAGGAGTGCCTGAGGAGACACCATTCCCAGTTCTGATCCTGTAACCCCCTGACACAAGAGTACTCCAGTCTAATTGCTGTACATGAATCCACGTGTTTTTTATTAATTTAAACGCTGTATTTTAGAAGCAAAACTTACCTGGTTTGAAACCATGGGAGGGAACAGCACAGTTGATAGATCTTAAACTGAAAACAAGAAAGCATGTTAGTTTTTCTTTTTTAAAGAACATTATTTTTACAGATACCCCTTTGAGAGATGCAAAGTAAAATACAGAACACTGAGCCTAAGAGTGTGTGTGTGTGTGTGTGTGTGTCCCAACACAAATTTCTGCTCTTTTATCCAACAAGGACACAAGAAATAACTGCTGGCCTGTATTTTCAGGCAGAACAGAACCACTAAAATACTTTATTTTCTATACCTTTAATTCTGCCGTACAATCCCAGGTCAGCCCCGTGACCTTTGGGCACCTCAGCCACCCCAGAGAGGCCTTGTTGTCCCCGTGCCCAGCTCAGATGCGTTGGCATTCATCACAAACCCTCTCAGATGTCCCTACCAACGCAGTTCTCATCATGTGCGGGCGTAAGGGAGTCCGAGCGAGCCCCTGCTCTTTAAATACCCACGATCGTGGCACATGCCGAGTGGGAAGGGACCCACCGGGATCGCGGCCCACCCCGACACCCCAGCAATGTCCCCCGTCCCTCAGGGCGGTGTCCGAGCGCTCCCCGACCTCCGGCAGCCTGGGGCCAACCCTCGGTCCTTCAGGGCCCCGTGGGCACCATTCAGGCGGGGGGAAATGCTTAACCCTCCCACAGCGCTACAATCGCATTTTGCACATTTATCCGCCGAGGCCACAAAACCCAGGGAGGCCTAATCTGCAGCGGGCCCGCCCCACATCGCCACACGCCGGGCGCGTTTCCCACGGGAAAAGGGCTCCCGGGTAAGGCCCGACACCTCAGCGCCTCGTGTATCACCACGCACCCCACGGTGGTACCCCCATCCCGTGTGGGGCCCCACGGGGACCCGCCCGCACCGCCCGCACCGCCATGAGGGGCAGTCCCCGCGGCCCAGGCCCGGCGGTGCAATCCACCGCCATCCTCCCGCATCCTGCCGCTCCAGCGCCCCTCGGGGACCCCGCCGCGCCCCGCTGGCCCTGCAGCGCCCGCCGGGCCGGCCCGGAGCGGCACAGCCGCGCACTCACCGCGGGGCCGCGCAGGCGATCAGAACCCCCCAGCGCCTCAGGGACAGAAAGGCAGGCCCGCTCCTGCGCGGCCTTTATATAGGCTCCGCTGTCACGTGACTCGCCGCGGCCCCACCCCCGTGGGCGCGCCCCGGGTGGGGGGGGCGGTGCGCGGGCCCGCGGTCCGCACGGCGTTTCCTTCCGGGGCGCGGCCCGCGCCGGCGCCGTTCGGTTCCGGGCCGGCGCTGCGGGCCCTTCCCACCCCCGGCAGGTGAGGCCGGGCCGGGCGGGGCGGGCGGGGGAGAGCGAGGAGAGCTCCGAGGAGACCGCCGGGACCGCCCCGGGGGCGCGGGGGCACGGGCGGGGCGGGGCGGCGGGGAGCGCGGGGCGGGCCGGGCTGTGCCCCCGCGCGGGGGTCCGGGTGCCGCTGTCACGGCCGGGGGCACCGGGAGAGAGCCCCGCTGGGCCGGGGGAGCACCGGGAGAGAGCCCCGCTGGGCCGGGGGGCACCGGGAGAGAGCCCCGCTGGGCCGGGGGCACCGGGAGAGAGCCCCGCTGGGCCGGGGGCACCGCCGGGGGTCGGGCCGTGCGGGCAGTCGGGAGAAGTCCCACCGGGATCGGGGAGGAGCCGAGTCGCGTCGGGTCTGGATATTGGGAAGGGATTCCTCCCTGCGAGGGTGGGCAGGCCCTGGTACAGGGTGCCCAGAGAAGCTGTGGCTGCCCCTGGATCCCTGCAAGTGTCCAAGGCCAGGTTGGACGGGGCTTGGAACAGCCTGGGCTGGTGGAAGGTGTCCCTGCCCACAGCAGGGGGTGGGAGTGGATGAGCTTTAAGGTCCCTTCCAACCCAAACCATCCCGGGACTCTGAGTTGTTTCTGGTGAGCAGTGACAGCACTCAGGGAACGGCTGGAGCTGTGTCAGGGCAGGGTCAGGTTGGATCTCAGGACAAGGTTCTTCCCCCAGAGGGTGGTTGGCACTGAACAGGCTCCCCAGGGCAGTGGGCACAGCCCCAAGGCTGCCAGAGCTCCAGGAGGGTTTGGACACCGCTCTGGGGGACAGGGGGGATTGTTGGGGTGTCTGTGCAGGGCCAGGGGTTGGACTCTGATCCCTGTGTGTCCCTTCCAGCTCGGGGTGTTCTGTGGAGTTGCCCAGTCGTAGATCTGAGCCCAAAGGGAGTTTTCAGCCCCTCTGTGCAGCCCCCAGGGCGAGTGCCTGCCAGGGGCCATTCACAGTGCATGTCACCTGCTGGGGGGGATCTGCCCCTGCCTTTTCCCTGATGGAGCGAGAATTCCTGCTCCCAGGAGCTGCCTCGCACAGGGAAAGGCGTTTGCTGAGATTAATTAAAGCCCAAGTCCAAGCTGGTGACACTTCAGATTGCCCTGAACGCAGCTGAGTGTCCCAGTGTGTGCCCCAGGGCTCAGCCCTGAGGGAAAGGTGTGTGCAGGTGAGGGACTTCCCAGGGAGGACAGAAGTTGGGATGGTCCTTTCCTCCTGCCTGGGAAGGTGATCCTGCTGCTGGATCCTGCGGCAGAGCCGGGAACCACAAAGCCTGACATCCATGCAATCCCTCTGGGCTTCATTTTTCCTTTCCTTTTTTCTTTCCTCCTCAAGGGGAAGGGGGCAACAAGCTTCCCAACCTTCTCACTACATCAGAAGGAAGCAGGAGAACAAGAAGGCAGCACCCCCCGCTCCCTCCCCGGCCCTGCATGTAACTCCCAGCGCTCCAGGTAGGACCGTGGGGTTCCCGTTCCCCCCGGCTTGGTGTGTGGGAAGTTCTGCTCCCAGCGCTCTGTTCCCGTGGGATTGGGATCTGCAGCTCCTTGGGGCTGGGGGGGAGTTTGTCTCCTAAAGATAGGGAGGAACATCGACCTGTTGGAGCAAGTCCAGAGGGCTGGAGCAGCTCTGCTGGGAGAGCTGGGATTGTTCAGCCTGGAAGAGAGAAGGCTCTGGGGTGACCTGATTGTGGCCTTCCAGTGCCTGAAGAGGGGGAGAAGCCTTAATTCTGGGATTCCTTGGAGGAGGCACTGACAGCATGGGTATTCCCAGCCTGCCTGAGGTGGTTTTGATGCCTGCAGTGCTCTGCTCAGTCCTCCCTTCAGGTGCCATCCAGCTCTGAAGCCGCTCACGCCACGAGGGGCTTGAACAAGCTTATTTGCTTTCTTCTTTTTTTGGGGGGAGTTTACGTCTGATTTTGGATCGTTCCAAATTTTGACCATATATGGTCAGGGCTCCTTTGCAAGCTTTGCCAAAACGTGCAGTGTGATGTTGTGGTGGAGCATCCCCCCGTCCCTGGCCCTGCTGGAAGTGTCTGGGAAGCTCCCGGTAAGCCTTGAGGGACCCACTGAGCAGTGAAGCGTCCCCTGACTGCACCAGCTGGGCCAGGGGGTGCTCCCTGATCCTGCCAGGAGCTCCTGGGTGCTGCAGGTGGGGACAACCAGGAACGTCCCAGCGCAGGTGGGAGCAAAGGACGAGCCGTTATCCCTTGCAGCCTGGGTAACCCATTCCCCCGGATCGCCGGCCGGGCGGAACGGCACTGCTGGGGACTGCAGCCCCAGGGGAACAGTCCCATTGTTGCTGTGCTTTGGGAAAGGGCCCAGCAGCTGCGGGCTTGGGATGTGGCCAGCATGGGAACTCAGCGATGACCGGTGTGGCCTCGTGACCCTACAAACAAAGTGGTCCCGAGCGAGGCCCTTTGACTCTCCCGGGCCACCCCTTTTTCTTTCGCCCTCCCTGTTACATCCTGTTTTCTGGCACGTGTCAGAAGTGCCACATATGATGGATGTCTTGAGATCAGCGAGGCACTGAAGATGCCTCGAGGTCAGATGTGTGCCGGCCAGCTTTTCAGAAGCCTCAGGAGGATTTAGCTCTCGGTGTGTCCTTCCTGATTCCTGTTGTGCAAAGGAGGCGTAACAATATCACTTTCCCTTTTCAAAGCGCTCCGAAGGTACAAGTGCCGAGTGTTTTAATCCATTATGCAATCAGCTGACTATTTTTAGCACCTGAACCATTTTTAATGTTCTTTTTACAATGCAGATGTGCTTTAATCGAGGCTGACGGAGCGCGGTGTTTCGGGCGCCGAAGCCGCAGGGGCCGGGGGCCTGTCGGGGGCTGGTTCAGCAGAACCTGGTGCAGGGGGGTGCACAGAGCCCTGCCGGGCGTGTGGCAATCCTGTGGGGAGAGAGGTCTCTAAAAATCCCGGGTGGAAGCGGGTAGAAAAGGTCCTAAACTCCAACGACAGGCCGGCTCTGCTAACGACGGCGTCTCCTCCCCCTTTTCCAGCGCAGCCGCGCGCCTGCGACCGGCGCCGCCATGGAGAAGAGCGGGAACATTCAGCTGGAGATTCCCGACTTCAGCAACTCCGTGCTGAGCCACCTGAACCAGCTGCGCATGCAGGGCCGGCTGTGCGACATCGTGGTCAACGTGCAGGGCCAGGCGTTCCGCGCGCACAAGGTGGTGCTGGCGGCCAGCTCGCCCTACTTCCGCGACCACATGTCCCTCAACGAGATGAGCACCGTGTCCATCTCCGTCATCAAGAACCCTTCCGTCTTCGAGCAGCTCCTCTCCTTCTGCTACACGGGCAGGATCTGCCTGCAGCTGGCCGACATCATCAGCTACCTGACGGCCGCCAGCTTCCTGCAGATGCAGCACATCATAGACAAGTGCACGCAGATCCTCGAGGGCATTCACTTCAAAATCAACGTGGCGGAGGTGGAGGCGGAGCTGAGCCAGACCAGGACGAAGCACCAGGAGAGGCCGCCCGAGTCTCACCGGGTGACGCCCACCCTGAACCGATCGCTGAGCCCGCGCCACAACACCCCGAAGGGGAGCCGCCTGGGCCAGGTGAGCACGGTGCTGGACATCCGGGAGCTCAGCCCGCCCGAGGAGTCCACCAGCCCCCAGATCATCGAGCAGAGCTCGGACGCGGAAGGCAGGGAGCCCATCCTGCGGATTAACAGGGCGGGACAGTGGTACGTGGAGACGGGGCTGGGGGAGCGCGGGGCCCGGAGCGACGACGACGTGCGGGTGCTGGGCGGAGTGCGCATCAAAACCGAGAACCTGGAGGAGTGGCTGGGGGCGGAGCACCAGCCCTCGGGGGAGGACGGCAGCAGCGCCGAGGAGGTCACGGCCATGGTGATCGACACCACGGGCCACGGGGCGCTGGGCCGGGACGCCTACGCCCTGGGCTCCTCGGGGGCCAAGGTGGTCAGGCCGACCAGCACCGACATCGACAGGTGGGTTTCCTCTGACTCAGCTGCTGACCTTGGCTGGGCCAGGTTTTCGCTTGGCTTGGGTTGGTCGCTGTGGAACGTTTCCTCCTTCTGTTTCCTGTGGCCATCTTAAGTGCCGCAGGAGTTTTGTTTTCCTGGTGTAAGGAAGTGTGTCCGGTTTGGGTTGGAGTGTTTTGGCTGGGTCGTGATCAGAGCAGGATCTCCAGCTGCAGGCCAGCTCTGTGCATAGGTTGGGATTTGCACCTCAGTGTTCCAGGTGAGGTGGGGTTTTTGTGGAAGGGAGATGCTCTGTGCAGCCTCGGTAGATGCCGGGCTCAGCACGGGGATTAACAAGGTCAAATACAAATATGTGTTATGCAAAGTGTCACTGCACTGATGCCTTCTGGCCTGAAAATCTGGGGGTGGTTCTGGCTGAGAAACAAGCCGAGCACCAGCTGTAAGTCAAGAGCAAATTTTGTTCCTGGTGCTCCAGGGCAGCAGTGGGCCCTGGGTTTACACCACCTGGAGCAGCTGAAGTGGGGAGCCCAGCGGCCTCCGCTGTTGGTTTGATTTATATGAGAGAGCAGAGAGCCTTTATGTGAAAATGAGTGGTGAAATCTGCTGTGTTTGGAGTCTCCATCCACCTGCTTCCCCTCGGCTCCAGGATTTGTTTTCTCGCCCCAAGCACAGCCCAGAGAGCAGATCTGATAAAGGGCAGGTCTGTTGGATTGGAGGGGGTTGTATTTGCAGGGTGTCCCTTCACATCTGCCTCTCTTCTACCTCAGTCCCTCTGGTCCCAGAGAGGAACAGCTGCCTGGAAGCAGTGGATATTCTGCCACTTGTTACTTAATAAATGGATCAGTGGGAACAATCTTGAGCTGGGCCTTGGGAGAGAGATGATTTCTACTTCCTTAGCTCTTTTCCAGGGATCAGATCTCAAGCATCTCTTCTTGCACTGCACTCAAGTGTCCACTGTTTCCCACCTGGAGTCCATCACACCCCTTGTGGGTGCCCCCCTCACCGGGGAGGGGCAGGAGGGTGTGGGTGGTGGAGGAGAGCGCCCTCCGAGAAATGGTTTCTGCTCCTGCTGCAGAGTTCCTGAGTCACTGGGCCTTTGCCAGCTTACTCCTGGTAGCAACCCCGAAGCTCTGTCACTGAGCTGGAAGCCAAATGACTCAGTTTTGTGTGTCAGATGTTCAGGCTGAACCCCACAGACCTCGGTTTTCCCTTTATACTCGCGCTGCTCCTCCCCCTGTGTGTTGGCTGGTGAGGGTGCAGAGATGCTGTGCAGGTGCCTCCACTGCTCCCCCGCTGTTCTGAACACCCCAGTGACCTGATGCCCATGAAACACTCCGTTGACACTCTTCCCCCACCCCACAGATTTAGCCCTTCTGGCAGCATGGTTGCTGTGACTGAGCGGTACAGATCAAAAAGCGAGTCTCCCGGGCGGATGGATGAGCCCAAGCAGCCCAGTTCCCAGGTAGGCAGATCAAGAAGTTTGCAAATGTTGGCTTGGAGGTGAAGGGGGCTGTGTTGTGATGGAGTGTGTCATATTTGCAAGCAATGCCACGTGTGAAACAAGGGCCTTTTGCCGTTGCACAGGGTTCAGTTGCTCCCACTGAGAGCGTGTGCTGGCTGTGTACGATATAACACTGATTGTGGTCGCTTGGGATTTTGGCCAGGTACCTGGAAAACACGAGGAGTTTCTCTCGTTGTCTGAGGGCATAAATATCCACCCTCGTTCTGGGCAGGCCACCAACTCCTGAGGAGAAATCCCGTTTGCCTGCAGAGCTGGATCTGCCCTGAAACACTGGCAGCAAATGCCTGAGCTGAGGGAGGAGGTGTGGCTTGGCTTCTGTGGAAGACTGAGGGGTGACAACAGCTGAACCTTTCCAAAAAGCCCTCCAGGCACTACACCCATAAACCTTTGGGGTGGAGAGTCAAAGGGCTGTGAATTTGTGCAGAGGTTTCTCTCTCATCCCCAAGGGACCTGCTGTTGCACAGCAGAATTTGCAATGTATAAAGCACCTCTGAATTCTCTGCTTTCTTGGGCACAGTTTTGGGGTAGGAGGGAGAGAAATGCAGAACCAGGGGAGGGCAGTGGGGAGTGCAGCAAGGTGGGACAGGGGTAATACCTGTGCCTAATCACCTTGGTCTAGTTTTGTTGCATACAGTGGGTGTCGCAGTGCCACTGTAGTGCAAATGTGTCAGCCAACACAGCGCAGCTCTGTGAGCCTGACAAACAGGGAATGTGTCAGTGTGTAAGCCAGTGGCTTGGCTGGAGGCAGGTTGAGGAGTTACCTGGCTGCTTTGCCCTTCAGTAAGACCAAGTGAAGCAAAGGGGAAAAGAATCTCGATTGCTGTCTGCTGCCTCTGTCAGACACTGCCATAAAACAACAGAGACTTTTTGTTCCTGTTTCTCCAAAGCTTTGTTTTGTGTCCTTAGAAGACATTGAGAAAATTTCAGGTCAAACTCACCCTCCAGGGGCAATGTGACATACAAAGCAATTCTAGCTCTTCCTACAGAAAGGCTGCTCTTATTTCTGCACTGTGAGGTGGCCTCAAATAGAAAACCTGAGGCTTTGCACCCAAGGGGAGGGCTCATCACCCTCCACCCTCCCGGCATTGCCATACCCACACTAAAAGAGCCTGCCTGTGATTCCAGTGGCAGCGGCAGAGCGGAAGGGAGGCACCAGAGCTTTGTGCATCTCCTTTAGTCCCGAGCAGCTTCCCTGTGCCCGCACAGCCGGATCCAGCAGCACCTGGCACAGGTACAGTGCTGCTCACACAGCCCTGGCCGCCAGAGGAGGGGCCCTGCTGCTGTTACACCTTCTCTGTGCTTGGCACCGCTGGGAAGCAGCGCTGGGACAGCAGTCCCCTGGCAGGGAGCGTTCCAGAGTTGTCTGCCTGTGCTCCATCGGGAGGCGATGGCCAGAAGTGTCTGTCACGGTTCAGGGTTGCCCTTGGCTGTTTGGCTGTGTGGCCTCGGAGAACACGGAGGAGCCAGCGAGTCCTGGCTGTGAGAGCCGGGCCAGGAGCTGGGCTGGGTCACACAGCCAGGCAGGCAAAGGTGACTCCGAGTGACACCTGAATAGACACCCCTGTGAGGTGTGAAATGGCACCTCAGGGGTTCAAAGTACCGGCCTGTCTGTGGTTCATTCCACCTTTGCTTTAAGAAGCAAACTCATCAATTGGCTGCTTTTTTTTTCAGCCTTCAGTAAGTAAAACAGACGGTGGCATACGGTATTTTAACAAAACTGGCCCAGGTTTTTAAAAAAGTAACAGGCATTAACACTTGTGGCCCACGACTCCATCGGTGGCCAGGCATGCTCGTGACAAGGACTGTCTTTTCTTCCTCAGATCCAGGGAATGCCTTGGCAGAGGGGGCCTCTGTAGCAGTGGTTTCTAATTGATTGCTCGTTTGTCTTCAGCCCCAAGGCCCCAGTTAAGCACTTAAATATGTGCTTGAGGTTGCAGACATTAGTGCTGCTGATTTTGAGGTTTGGCACGCGCTTTACTGGCTGGACTGGGGCCTGATCTTCTTCTCCGCCGTTTGTTTTAGGCTGCTCGTTATTTAAATCTCTGCTGTTTCCTTGGCAGGGGGAGGAATCAGCCATGCTGGGAGTGAGTGGTTACGTGGAGTATCTGCGGGAGCAGGAGGTTTCCGAGCGCTGGTTCCGGTACAACCCGCGCCTCACGTGCATTTACTGCGCCAAATCCTTCAACCAGAAGGGCAGCCTGGACCGGCACATGCGGCTGCACATGGGCATCACCCCCTTCGTGTGCCGCATGTGCGGGAAGAAGTACACCCGCAAGGATCAGCTGGAATATCACATCCGCAAGCACACGGGCAACAAGCCCTTCCACTGCCACGTCTGCGGCAAGAGCTTCCCTTTCCAGGCCATCCTCAACCAGCACTTTCGCAAGAACCACCCCGGCTGTTTGCCCCTGGAGGGGCCCCACAGCATCTCCCCCGAGACCACCGTCACGTCCCGGGGGCAGGCGGAGGAGGAGTCCCCTCCGCAGGAGGAGGCCGTGGCTGCGGGGGAGACGGCACAGGGATCTGTGTCCACCACGGGGCCGGATTGAAACACGGCTGCGGAGCGCGGGGAGGAAGGACCGTCTTCCCGTTCTTGGCTCTCCAGAGTCAGCACCAACCTGGCAGGCTGGTACTGTAATTAGTGCAATGCCACCACTGGACAGAAAGGAGCTCCCGAGATGTTGCCAAAATAGAAAAATCTCTCTCTTTCTCTCTCTCTCTCTCTTCCTCTCACACACCCCCACACACACACGTAGGGTGTTAAACGTTTTTCTCCCTTATTCCTCCTCCTCTCGGAGAAAAACAGAACAACTGTGTCAATCAACTTCTTATTCAGGGATCGACAGGATTTTAAATTTTTTTACTGTTCCGTAGTGACCTGGGACGAGCAGTCATTGGTATTTCTGGACAGCCCCGTGGCCCAGCAGCCGGGCCCTGCAGAGCCAAACCCGCTGGTCCCGCTCGAGGGGAGAGCAGGGGCAAGGGCCCCGTTGCCTTTGTCCCTTCCCCAGGTAGAATACAAAGAGACTGTGCTGGTGGAGCCTGCCTTGCCCGCCTGTATTTATCCCTGTCTTATTTTTCGTGTGTCTCTTTACATTTTTTGTTGAAGCTGTTACTTTAGGGCTTTTGGCCTTGCCCGTTGCGGGCACGGCTCCAAGGCGGAATTCCAGAGGTCAGCAAGACGTGAAGGAAGCACTTGGGCTGCTGAGAGCGGGATTTAGCGGCTGTGAGGTTGGTGTGAGACACTGATGCCTTGGGAGTAGGGCTGGAGGGGTCTTTCGGAGGAGGTTGTTCCTCTGCTGGTGCTGACCCGGAGAGCTCAGAGCGCTCTGACGTCCCGGCCGTTGCTCCGGGGGTTGCCGAGGGTTAGGCAGAGATTTTCTGGAGTGGCTGAATTCCGGAGTTAAGAGCCTGGCTACCAAAGTCCTCCTTCACCCCTGCTCCCCCCTCGACACGCACTTGTCTTTTATAACAGCAATATGTGATACAGAAATACTGCAATGCTGTCGTCCCAGCCAAGCAATCGTGGGCGGTTGCTTTTAAACCTGTTTCTACAAACTACTTTGATAACTTTTTTTATCAACGAGATGCAAAAAGAAAAGAAAACCCTACCTTATTTCCTTGTAACAGTTCAGGAGACTTTAGAGTGAACGGTTCCTAGAGCAATCACAACTCTGTCCCCTTGCATGGACTTCAAGATTTTTTGTATTCTGAGCAGCTCTGATGTTTTTAGAGCGAGTTTAGCCAAGCTGGAGAGACGTGCCTGCGTGTGTGTTGTAGGTGTTTGCACGGGCTTACGTGGTTCATAACCGGAACAGCATGGGACAGGTAGATAAGTGCAAATATTCTGACATCTTTTGAAGAAGTCTTTTTGAAAACAAAATATGCAATATTTTAAGAGTTTTCTCTGGTTCTGATGCCAAGTTGTTCACGATGGAGGGGGGGTAACGAACGACAGGTCGCGCGGATCGGGTCTGGTGAAGGAGTTCTCTTGAGGGCGTGGGATAAAGGGAGGGTGAAGTTCTGATCCTTAGGGTGATGGGAGGAACAAAGAGACATTGGAAAAGAAATACACTTCATCTGGCTTCGGCCAGAGAGCCGGGTGAGTGGTTGGAGCAGGGGCTGGGTGGGCAGGGGACTGACCACGGGACAGCAAAGCTTGACCCGCAGTCCGACTGCAGATGCAAACATCTCCAGCCTTTGCTTTCCCCACCTGCAAATTGGGACTCAGGATCATTTTCCTGCCCCTTTAGAGGGAAGAATTTGGGGGAGGGTGATGTATTCTTGCCTCACTTCACGGATTTTTTTATAAGCAAGGGGTCTCACTGTTCCTCCCATCTCTCTCTCCAAAAGGAGACGTGGCTCTAAAGTGTTTCTGTGTGTGGGAAGGGCTTGGTGCCAGGATCGTGTGTTAACAGGGAAGTGCTCCCAAGAGAGGAACCTTTGCGGGTGTCCCGAGCCAGGCACCTGCAAAGCACCATTTCATTGACCATTTCAAACAGGAAAACTGATATTTCACCTCCGTTTTCCTTCTGTCCCTTCTTCCTCCTCTGCTGTCAAGTGCATCGTCACACGGGCAGTGATTTGGCCCCCCGAGGGAGCGGCCCCGTCGGGTTTCCTGGCGAAGGTCAAGCAGGATGGTGCCCAAACAGTGAGGTTGCAGTGGCAGAAGATGAGGTGAGAGGGTGGCTAAGGTAGGTTTCGTTGCAATCGAGGTGCGGGAAGGAGCGGAGATGTGCTGCTTTAGTCATAGCTTTTGAAGTTACCAAAAATGGGAAAAAAAAATAGAAAAAAAAAAGAAAAGAGTTAAAGACTTTGAAATCCTATCCTGTTCACACTAGAGAGCATCAAAAGTTACTTTTAGTTGCTTAAAAGATTTTTAAGTGTTTTAAAATAGAAATTTTAAAAGAATACTACCAAACTATAAAAACATAAAATTATTTATATACATATATTATATATAAATATAGTGGGAAAGTTTCCCTGCTAAGCTTGCTGTGAAGAGAAGGGTGAAGGTGCAGTAACTGCCACACGAGCAGCATTTTTCTGAGACAGATGGCAACCGTAGCGAGGAAGGGCTGACATAAAATGGTGACTGCCTTTATTCCCATGGCATAGCTGTGAGTTTCTTGAGCAGGTTTGTGTTTTACTGTATCGATACTGTGAACGGAGGAGCATCCGAACAGCCCGGGGGGTGCGCCCTGTGTGCTGATTCACTACTTTCGTTGGCCTGGTGAAATTGGTCCTTCATATCCTGCCAGGCTGAAAAACAAAGCTTGTGAAAGGTTTTTGATTTTTTGGTTTTTTTTCCTCCTTTACATTTTCTTTTGGTTTTGTTTTGTTTTGTTTGTTTGTTTGGTGGTTTGTTTGTTTGTTTGCTTTTTCGGTGCAGAGGTTGCCACTGTATAAACGATCATTTCTGATTGCATGCAAAAGAGCCAATATTCTTGCCCGGGCCTCGCTGAGGTGAAGTTTATAGCTTGTAGCTAGAGTCAGTATAAGGTATGGTAGTGGGACTCATTTTAATATTATTTCTGTGCATTTAATGGACGTGTATGTATGTGTGGGAGCCACGCTGGCTCTCGGACGTTGCTGAAAGCAGTTCAGGCCTGTCCGCGCTGGACGGCGGGGCCCGTTCCAAAGGGATCGGTGTCGGACGTTTCTTTCAGTGCTTGAGCTCCTCGCTGCAGGCCAGGCCAAGGTTCGGGGAGAAAGGGGCTGGAGGTGGTGTATGGTATGGAAGAACCTCCTGTGAGTTTCCTGGCAGTGGCGTAGCCACTCAAGAGGTGCTGTCCCCAGCAGAACGCCGCCCTGGCCCCGTTGCCGCTCGCTGGCGCGGCTCTTCGCAGTTGCACCCAAGCTGTGGAGAATCAGCTGCCAGCTCTCCAAGTGCGAACGCTTCTGGGATGGGTTGAGGCGCAGCTTCGCATTCCCACGTCTAGCTGCAGCTTTTCCTGCCAAAAACTGTGATTTCAACTGTGATTTAAGGAGGATGTGAAGAGAACTCTGTCATGTTTTAATACCTCTGTACATAACATTTCTGTCCGCTTCAGAGTTAGGGCTTACTAACCCGTTTGTTTGCTTGCCTCAGGCGACAGGGAGAACACACTCTGGTTTTTGCAGTTTGTTTTCTCGGAGGGGAAACACAGTTCTTTGCTGCCAAGGAACTCACCCCCCAAATGTGAAGAGTCGTGGTTATCTCCTTAAGCCTGCAGCAAGCCCTGGTGCCAAGTCACAGCCCAGTGACGTGACGGTTGCCGTGGCTGTTCCTGCTGCTGCCAGGTTCCCTGTGAATAGCTGTGAAAATAACAAGGATTGTGTTAATACTGTGCTGCTGCTTTGGGAAAAAGCTGAACCTCTTCCTCTCAGGAGGATGACCGATGGGAAGCTGGGAAAGGGAGAAAGGAGAAGGTCTTTTTGCTCTCTTGCAGCGGGAGCGCGTGAAAACAAATTGCTCTTTGTACTTCCAGCAGCCAGAGAGGGGTGAATGAGAGGCTTTATGGAATGTGAATTTGGAACAGGAGGCTGAGAACATGCTTAAGGCCACTTAGTAAGATCCAGGGCTATCAGCCCGGCGAGAGCCAGAGCAGCCGATGCCGATGGGCAGTCCCTGGCTTGTCCTCCCAGCAATGCCCACCATCAGGTCAGTCCTTCTCCACCATGTTCTCAAGCTGTGATCTGTATAATTTAACTTTCAGAAGTTTGGGTGCCTGAGGAAGGGCAGGAGGGACAGAAAGCTGCTGTTTTTAAACCCAGCGAGGTCGGCAGCGGCTGCTCCCGTTGCCATTTGACAGCTATTCCGAGCTGGAATAGCTCTGGGAACAAGCTGTGGCCTGGCTGGAAGGCTCAGCAGGGAGGGCACCGAGCCAGGATTTGAGCCCTCTGTGGCATCAGCGTTGAAATAAATGGCCAGGACAGCTCTCCCTGCTCGTCCCGCTCGGGTTCCCTCCCGCACCGCTGCGGTGGGAACGTCACTCAACAGCTCCTCTCAGCCAGTGATCCCAGGCCTGCTCTCGGAGCTGGGTCCTCCCGTGCCTTTGGGTGATTGAGCCCTAAGGAGGCCTTGGCAGGAGCAGAGCTGCAGCTTTCATTTGCTTCTGACTTCATCTCTGGTGCCGAACCCAAGGTGTAAATAGGAAGACAAACAGCAGAGTTTGGGGTGGAAGGTGGCTTGGGAGGTAGACAGGGTCATGTTGAGAACCAACAAAAATAGCACTTAAAATGATTTAAACTTTATCCAACTCTCCTCTTTGACCCGTGACATGCCTGCCAATTTAGCCGTGCCAGCATCCAGGTGTTTCTGCAGATCAGTGACACCATGTGCCGTTCTTGCTCTGCTGGAAATATTTTGGGGATGGGAGGAGTCCCTGCCCATGGCAGGGGGGTTGGACTAGATGACTTCTAAAGGTCCCTTCCAGCCCAAACCATTCTGTAAGTCAAGGAGCTGTAGTTCAGGAGGCTTTTTGGGGCTCTGAGTTTTCCCTGGGAGCTGAGCCCGTGGCCAAGGCTGCAGCTGGAAAATCTGGGATCCGCTGACATAGCGGAGTCTTTACTCCTGCCACGAGGTGAGAGCCATGCACAGAGCTCTGACATCTGCAGTGGAAGGGCCTAAAGAGGAGCTCAGCATCCTTAATTTAGTCATTGTCATTCAAGGGATACTTTAATATAAAATACATGCATGCACACGTATGTGCAGTTAAATATTTGCAACCAAATACAAGCTAGAACTATGCAAACACTACTGGCTGCTGCTTGAAACTAAAGTCTACCAGAACATTTTGGAATAGAGTAGACTTGGAGGAGACTTGCTGTGGTTTGTTGTTGGGTTTCTTTTAATAAAATGCAGCAGACCAAAGTTTTGCTGCAGTTAGTCTTACTAGAGATTTAGGTTATTCCTAACCTGGAACCCACTCAAGTGGGTTGTAAAATTATCTGAAGAGTCCGACCATCTCTAAAATATTTCCATCTGCTGAAAGGCTCTGGCTTGGCAAACACAGGAGAACAAAGGGGCTGGGACTAGGAGAGATTAAAGGTGGTGCTTGGGCTGAGAGAAGTAGAATCAAGAAAGGACTTTGGGAGCATTTTCTTTCGAATGTAGGACTGAGTTGGCTTCTAGGAATCTTCCTACTTGGGAAAGCATCCAAGGCTGAGATGGAGGCAGAGATCAGAGCATCCTCGGGATGAATCCTGGTTCTGCTGGAGATCTTCCTGCTGAATCTGATTGTCCCAGAGTTTAGTCCGCTGGGAGAAACTCCGCGTGGTTTCTTTGTGTCAGATCCCATCTCTGCTTTTAGGATTAACTGCAATATATCTCGAACCTTCAGTGACCTTTGGCTTTTCATTCCTGGGACTGTAGAAAAATTCAGGTTTCCCATAACATTATCCTCATCCCAACTGTGAACAAGTTACTACTGCTTCTTATAATTTATTGTCTTTCTGTTCCTGGACGTCTGTGTGATCGGGCTGGTCGCCAGCACCACCTTCCAGTGCTTCATGAGCTTTTATGCACAGGGAATTGTTGCAATGGAAAAGTTGACCACGCTAGTTGGAAGAGTAGAAGCCTTTGGAGAATGACTTTTGCTTCCTCTAGCTGTCATTAGGGAGTGCACACACACATACTGTATATACATATATATATATATATACATATATAAAGTGTTTCAGTATAAACTCATTTAGCATTATTCTTATTTAATTTATATTTTAATCCAGTTGTAAACCAAAGTATTGCAGCTTGTGAGAAGAGGTGTCTCGGAAATAGGAGGAACCTGAGGAGGTTGGAGCTCTGAAAGGTCTTTGCTGATGAAAAACATGGACGTGAATAAGACTTAAGAACCCGTGCTGCTGAATCCTAGGGATTTGCAGCCTGGGGAGGATTCGAGACTTGCTGGGTAAAGTTGGATGGTGGGGCCTTCTGAAGGTGTTTTTCGTGGTCCTTAATGGTTTTGTAGAAAGACAAGTATGTCCTGGCAAGGCTAGAAATTAAAAGGGAGGAGGCAGAAAATCAGAGTGTGGCCTGGCACAACTGGGGGCTGGAGAGAGGAAGCCCCAAAAGCAGCCACTGATGTATTTAGTGTCTAGCTGAAAGTTTTAGAACATGAGCCATTGCCATTTACCGATGTCTAGAGGTGGTTGGGGTTTTTTTAGTACCTTCTGTGGAGATGCATGCTCTGCTCTCACCAAGGGGAAGAAATTATGGGTTCAGAGATAAAACCTTGCTGATTTTCCTGTGCCAAGGAGTAATTGTCTTCCCAAGGAATTATGGGAACAAATTCGGCTCTAACAATCTCCCACAGCCTTGGCAGCAGCTCTTGCTTCCTCTAGGGAGGAGGGAGACAGCTGAAACAAGAGGGTTCATGTGGTGTCAGGGGCTGGTGGCACGAGGACCCCCCTGGGTTGGGTAGGACAGCTGGAACAGCAGCAAAGCATCACTGGGAAGAGGAGTGCGTGTGTCTGGCGTGCCCTGGATGCTGCGGGCAGGGAAATGCCAGGCTTGGGACCTGCTTGTGGGCAGGAGCATTCAGGAAACCCTGGGCAAAGAGCCCTGTCCTGGAGGTGAGAGCTGAGCAGCACCGGCAGATCTCCATCCCAGAGCTGGGAACGGAGGAAAACGAGTCCCCTGGGGGGGCAGGTGTGAGGATTCCAGAGACTCCATGGGAAGGAACTGAAGGATGGGAGGTGCAGGCTGGGAAGGGCAGTGCCAGGCAGATTTCAAAGTGCCATTTTCGGAGTGTTGGGTTTTCCAGCATGTGGTGCAGACTGGAGTTGTGGCTTTTGTGTCAGTGCTCTCTCCTTCACCTGTGTCATCTCTCCTCCAGGGAGGGCTTGGAGAGGACGGAGCCAAACCCTCCACAGGGGGAGGAGGAGCAGCAGGAGGTGGAAGTTGATATGAAGGAGCATCAGGTTAGGTATTACAAGGTATTGTTTCACCATGAGAACAGCCAAACAGCACTGGATCAGGTTGTCCAGAGAGGCTGGGAAATCCCTATCCTGGGACAGTGCAGCCTCCAGGCTCCTGTTTCCATTAGACTACGCCAAGCTGTGTTTTTGTTACCTTCTTTTTTTTTTATAGTATTACAATGTACAAATGGGCAGCTTTAATGGGCTTCCTAGTTCATATCAGTTAAGCTTTTGAAACATATTCAGGTATCTTTTAAATACTGCTGTGTAAGTTGTTTAACCTGACATATTCTGATTTATTCTTTTACTGCAGTTACCTAAGGCAGTACTTAAAAAAAAAAATCAGTGCATTAATTTTTTGCAGACTGTCAGCTATGTTAAGCCTCCAGCTTAGTTTTTATTAATGTATTTAACCCCCTCTCCCTCAGATCTATGGTGAAATGCCTGCATTATTTTTATATTCCAGTGAGGCTTATTTATTGAAACCTTTGCAGTCAGCCCCAGTACCATTGGCTATGAAACTGTGAAACTAATGAGAGATGAAAAACGAAGCTGGATTAGTTCGTTTTACTGCTGGTCATAAAATACAGAAAGCAGCGGTATAAAGGATGAAATAGAATTGGAATTAAATCATGGAATCACAGAATGGTTTGGGTTGGAAGGGACCTTAAAGCTCATCTCGTTCCAACCCCCCCTGCCGTGGGCAGGGACACCTTCCCCTAGAATTCCAAGAGAAATTACTGAGTCTGGGGTGGGGAGAGGAATCACAGAACTGTGCCTGAGAAACAAATTTTAACCTGACGATGTCACTTCACTGGTTCCCCATCTGGTCAAGCGTAAAAGCTGTTTCTTGAGACGAGGAGGCTCCCCGGGCTCCGCTCGTTCACCTGCGTGTCTTGGGCATTGCTGTGATCCGGGGGTTGTGCTCCCTCGTATTATTTTCGGAGAGTTTACGTGTCTAAGGAAACTCTCTGGATTACTGTGAAGCTTTTCCTTAACCCTCCTGGCACGTGCATTGGTGACTGAACACAATCTCGGCTGCAGGAGGTGGGAGGGAGGCGGGAGGGGCCGTTCCCTGGAGGATGGTGGCTGTGGGTGACACCAGGGATGGGACACAGTGCAATTGCCCTGCTGACAGATGGGATTTTGGCAAGGGGAGTGACGGCCCGGCCCCACTGTGGCTGTGCCCAGCCCAGGGGGTCATTCAGTGGGCTGCACCCCTGCCAGGGTCAAGGTGAGGGTGGTTTGTGGGGGCTGTCTGCAGGGCAGCCTGGATCTCCTGTGCTGCAGACGGGGCAGGGCTGGTGTAGGTGGCCTGCAGGTACTTTCCTCACGTGTTAGAAGGTCTCCTAAGCCGGGGTTGTGTTGCTGGGGGAAGCAGCCCAGGTGGAGCATGGGTGAATTTGGGATGGAGAGCAGAATTTGCTGTACCCTTTGCTCCAGACCAAGCCCCTGGGCTCCCCTGGGGCGCTGGCTGGGGTAGAGAGCTGACTCCAGGCAGGAACACACCCCTCAGCTCCTGCCCCACGCCTGCAGAGAGGATTAGGGAAGGGTGAGGAGACTGGATCCGAGGGTAGTTCATGGAAATGGAAGCAAAGTATTCAAAGTACTGCTTTAGTCTGAAAAGGGAAGGGAAGCAATGCAGTTTTCCCAGGCCCCTGGTGTGTTAAACACTACCTGGAGCTCCCACGAGCTGTGTCCCCGTTGTCCCCAGAGCTCCCCCCTTCCCCTGGTGTCACCCCGCCTTCCCTGTACAACACTGTGAATAAGATACCAGTAGCTCTTTGTAACGTTTCCATTAAAAGTGCCCGGAGCAGGGAGTGCTGTCCTGCTGCAGGAGCTGTGACCCCAGCCAGGGCATGGATGGTTGAGCCTCCCCTGCGGAGCGCAGGGAGAGGATTGCAGGAGTTCACGAGGGAAGTGGCTTTGTGTAGCAACTCGCTAATCACATTTGATTTCCTAACAAACTAAACTGACAATCAATTCCTAAAATATAAAAGCCTCTTAGAGGGAATAGTCAAGTGTATCTTCACCAGAGAGATTTAACTGGGAATAACTTAATAAAGAGCACAGGATTTTTTCCTTTTTTTTTTTTTTTTTTTTTTTTAAAGCAATCACTCCAGAAATGGAAGCAGCAGATTCACAGGACAATAACTACCTCTCTCTCTCAGAGTGCTGAGGTTACCACACTACACACTCGAGCAGCAAAGCTTTCACTTCAAAGAGATTTGTTTTCCTTACCTCTGTGTTTCAGAAATGCAGGTCTGCTCTGTAAAGTGACTCTAGGAAAATGGCATCTGGCAGGAGCAGCAGTAGCCCCTCAGAGTCCAGAGTCCCTCCAGTTCCTTGCAGTGACCTTTGCAGGTTGGCTCTGGGGCTGTGACAGTTCAGGGGGGGCTTTGTCACCTCCCGGGTGCTGCACAACAGTGAACTGTCCCGTGGGCTCGGCGTCCTGCACTGGGAAATCAGTCAGTGGTGGGAAAGTGAGGGGAGAATCCATCTCCCTCCTGCCTCCAAGGGAGCAGGCAGCATTAAAAAAAAAAAAAAAAGCAATAAGATAAAAATAAAAACACTTTTATACGTCGTTCATTAGTCAGCAGATCTGACTCTGCCAACTTATATATATATATACACAAACACATACAGAGAGCAGATCTCTTGTGTGAAAAGGTGCCATTTTTTTCTAACCAGAGTCCCTTTCCAAACTAGAACAGCACTTTAAATAGGTTCCTCTTTAAAAAAAAAAAATTAAAAAAATATATATAAAAAAAAAAGAAAACCCTTTACTGCAGCAATGCACTTTAACTGGTCAGACGAGTACAGCTGTGGCTGGCCTGGGACACAGCTGGATGGGCAGGAGGCTCCTGGGCAGCCAGAGCCCGGGGGGAGCCACGTTGCCAGCCCCTGGGATGCCCCTGGGATGCCCCAGGCAGCCCCAAAGGCAGCTCTACCTCCGGAGCCCCCCGGCCGGCCCAGCCCTGCAGGGAGGGACCCAGGGCAGCCCCGAGGCCGAGCACTGACAGGGCTGGGCCCTCGGGAGACTCTGCCATCGGTCCAGAGAGCCCACCCTTGCCTGGAAAAGAGGATTTAAACCCCGTTTTTAACAGGTCAGAAGTTGCACCCCGTTACAACCCCGCTGAGCTCGGCTGCGCAGCAACGCCGGGAGAAGTTGTTACTGGGGCTGTGGGGTTTTTCCATAACCTGGATATGGAGCCCTCGTCAGTTCAGTATTTTTTTTGTTTCTTTTTTTCTTTTAAATGCAAGTTTGTGTGTCCCACATTGATTCTGCTCTGAGCTGGTTTGCAGAGTAACCATTTGTAACAGAAATTGTGCTGTCGCCTTCAACTGTTGGCCTATAAATCAAACTTTTTAGGACAGGTGTCCTAACACTCAAGACTTACTTTCACAGTTCAGAAATTTCCTGCTGTACTAATTATTCTCCCTTTTTTTTTTTTTTTTAATGTTATTTTATTTTTGGTTGTAATCCTTATTTCAAGAAGAAAAAGTCAGTGTTCAGACTAGTCTGCAGTAGGTTGAAGAGTGAGCCTGCTGTGTGTAACTTGTGGATATCAGACTGTTCTTCAGTGATTTTCCAAGCTGGTCCTCCAGCACCACTTCCCTTTTCCTCTTCCAGCAGGTGCTGGCAGACCGTGGCCAGTGGCAAACAGGGACAGCCAGAGCTGCTGGAGAGGGGTGGGCAGGGGTGGCAGAGGGGAACCAGAGCTGGGGAAGGGGGAAATAAAACCAAGGTAGAGGGACTGTACAATTGCATTGAAAGCAGTTTAGCAAAAAGCGCTCTCGTCGGACAGCTTTAAGAACAATGTGAATGAAAACTTAGCAACTTGGGTAGGAATCTTGGAAAATTCTATAAATGTATACTTGAAATTCTGTTTGTATTAAAAAAACAAAAAAAATCGCATTTTCTTCTTTCTTTTAACACTGTGTAAAAGAACATTATGCATGTGAGTGGTTTGAGAATTAAATGGTTTAATACTCAGATCCTTGTCTGTGTCGTGGAGCTGACTGGTGTGACCCGGTTGTGTTCTCTTGACCAGGTGAGCAGGCAGAAAATGGGATCAAGAAAGAAAAAGCCACAGTGGTGACTGCCCGAGGAGGGCAGGGAGAGGAAGAGCTGCTCTCTGAGCTCTTAAGTAATTTCCAAAATGCTCCCTCTTTTCTGCCAAGGCCCCAGACATAACTTACACTCTCAGCTTCTTCCCGAGGTGTAACTCCAGGCAGGCAGGTGAGCCCGGAAAGGACGGTGCCTCACAGGGCTTGCTACAGCTAGAGGAGGTGGCTCTCTGTGTCCAAACCCATGTGCCACTCACAACACAAACACAGAGGCTCAACCTTTGCTCCTGGGAGCAGGAGGAAACCTATGCAAACCCCTGCATAACCCTGTGGCTTCCAAAACCAGAGACCCAGTGACCAAACCCTGTCAGGGCAGCTCTGAGGTAACTGCAGCATTGCTTGGCCGAGAGAAGCCTTTACAGAGGTGGCTGTTTCGCTGGTCCTACCAAATCCAGACTAAAGGGCCCACTGGGGACAGACACCCACTGATGTTTTCGCAGCTGTCTGCAGAAAACAATTCTGTTACCTGTGCTGTCACTGCCCTTTTGGTTTGAAGCAGCTGCCTGCAATGCAGAAATCCTAGAGGGAAGCTCACCACGTTCTCCATCCTGAGGACAGCCTTGTCAGAGGTCGTACAGCAGTGAAGCCACCTGGAGAGCACCAGAGGCCACACGTGTGGCCCAGGAGTTTAAGTCTTCTTAAAAAGTCTTCCTCTGAACTCTGAAGACTAGTTTAAGTCTTCAGAGCCTTGGCTGTCGCTGGGGACTCTCACCTCTGGGGCGTGTTGGACACACCAGAGCTGCTGGCAAGCAGGGCACAGCTGTTTGGCAGCTCTTCCACCCACCAGCTGCCGTGGAAGGATGTTCCCGGCCCAGCCAGCACAAACCCTGTGGTTGCTGCTGTTCCACTGACCTGTCCAGCGTGGGGTTGTTGTGCCGGGACCGGGGAGCGCAGGGAAGGGCCCGTTTGTTGGAAAGGGAAAGCTTAAATGGGTCTAGGAAGTGGCCTGGGGCAATTTGTGCATTCAGAGAGCAGTCTGTTAGGTACAGATCTATAGGTTTTAATGAACCAGGGGATCACAGGTACAGCCTGAGGCCCGAAAGGGAGCAGGGTTGGACAGGGGAAGGACAGCAGTGCTGGACTCGGGTGTGGGGGCCGCAAAACTACCGGTGCTTCCCTTTGCATGCAGGATGGAGCAGGTGAGGGGCCCTGTGAGCCTTCTCTCCCCTGGGAGGAGCAGGGACAGCCCAGCTGGATGCAGTCCCTCCCTGCAGCTGGCACCAAACAGCGAGACCAACCACGCCAGGAGCAGCCTGGGCTTTGTGGCAATACCCCAGTGCCCCTCTTCCCGAGGCAGAGGAGGGGCCCTGCCAGCCCCTTTAGGAGCAAGGATCAGCTATCCTGCCCATGAAGATGATGGTGTTGAGGGCGGCTTCCCGGATGAAAAGCAGGAAGGGCCTGTTGGCATTGAAGATTTTTCTGTTCATGGGGAAGGAGCGGCCGGAGATGGTGACGGCTGTGGCAGCTGACGCCTCGCTGCCTTCTTCATTCACCTGCCAACCAAGGGAGAAGGTGGGATTAAAACACAGGCACCGTGCAGTTCTCCTTCCAGAACCCCAAACTGCTGAGGGAACGAACACCAGGGGTTCAGAGTTATTTTTTTCTTTAAATGCGGTTTTCCAAAGCCAAAAGGAAGACACCCTGGGACACAACAAGGCTCACCTCGAGGAAGGCTTTGTGAAAGGCGTCAGACACGTACAGGTCTGTGCGGCCCTCTGCGATGATGCCTGCAGCACAGAGAGGACAAAGGTAAAACTGAGCTTAGGCACAGCTCAAGGGAGAACACACTCCCATCCACCATGGCTGGGACCAGGCAGAAGGCACGGCTGCCCTAAAGTGAAAATATGCTCCCCCACATTGCTGAACTGCCATGTCCTTAGTGCAGAGCAGGGCTGCTTCTGCACGGTGGGACTTGACCAGAGCCCATCACTGACTGTGGCAACATCTAAATGCCTTCGTGTTCTTGTTCCTCTTGCACTGCCCTGGCAGCTGTGGAGGAACGGCTGCCCCCCACCCCCACCTCTCACCTGGGAGCCTGGCGTTCTCCGGACTGAAGAGATCCTCCAGCCCCATTTTCTGCAGCTTCTCCTTGACGCTGAAGCTGTCCTCGACACGGAAGCGGGGCAGGTAAACAAAGAGGGACACCTCCTTCATGGAGTCTATCCAGCCCTGCAGCTTCTCCGACGTCAGCTCCCGCTCCACGTCCTCCAGCGGTGTCCCAGCGCTGGGCAGCACCAGCACCATCGTGATGTCATCCCCTTTGTAGGGCAGCTCCAGCACCTGGACTTTGTCCTGGGGGATGAATGCGTAGGGGAATTTGGACTCCTGGTACATAGTCGGGACTTTGCAGGTCTCGCCGTTGGCTTTATTAAAATCATCCAGTTTTGTGTTGGGAGCTGGGAACTGCGATTTCCAGTGCCCCTGAAAGGGAGAGGGGGAGCACAGACATGAGCACCTTGTCTCCCCCAGGGACGTGGGCTCCTCCCCCAGGTGTTGTTAGCCATACCTTAAAGTAAATGGTGTTGACCAGGACCAAGACAGTGAGCTCATCAATACCTCTTTCTGGGATCACTTCTGTGATGCGTCTCTCTGTCTTATTAGCCACCCACTCGTTAATGATCTCCCTGGAAAGTTCTGGCTTCTCCTGGAGGAGGAGACCAAAACAAGGTTAAGCCAAGGGTTTCAAAGGTTTCAAACACCTCTTCTGCAGGGGACAGGTTCCCAGGGTGTGTGCTCCCAGAGCAGTGCTCAGCAGTGAGGAGTGGGGACATGGCTGTGGTTAAGGGTGAGCTGGAACAAGAGCAGCTGCATCCCAGGCTCCCTCCTGCCTTCACTCATATCCCACACACCCAGAGCAGGGCACTTATCTGGGCAAAAGGCAGGGATGCAGCCAAAGCAGAAGGATGGCAGGGGCAGGGGGGGAAAGAAACCAAACAAAAAAAAGCAAAGCTGCAAGTAGATCAAACCCACTTTGAAGTTCAAAGGCCAGAGCTTGGCTCCATAAACGATTTCGCTGATGTTCTGGTAGGTCTCGTTGAAGACCAAGGATTTCTCCCCGAAGAGGCGGTTGGCCGACACCAGCTCCGAGGATTTGTTGGCTTTCTTGTAGAGCCGGCAGTTCAGCTTGGCAAAGAAGAAGTGGATCTGATCCGATGTCTTTTCCGAAATGGTGTCAAATCGGAAGACCTGGAGGGGCCAAGCAGCAAGAAGGGACCCGTGAGCAGCTTCTCGTGCTCCTGGGCCCCACAGCAAGTGCTGGAGCAGCCTCTGCCTCGACAGCCAGGAAACCTGCAGGCCCTCAGAGCTTCACCCTCCGTGCACAACTGGGAACCCAAATCTACGTAAAACCAACTCCCCGTCAGCCCAAGGTCTCCTTCAGAGTCCAAGTGGAGGATTAAACCCTGCTCAGGTGCTGCTCCTGTGTCTAACTCTGGTTTTCTTGCTCCCAGTACTCTGCCTGTGACTGGTTCCAGCTTCCCCCAGTGCTGCCACAGCCCAGCCCCAGCGGGGCCTGGAAGCAGCTCTCAGGTCATTCCAGGACTCACAAGGTTTGTGCTGAACCCTCCCGTGCCAATGCCAAAGTCTGCTCCTTCCCAGGAGGAATTCTTGTGGCCTGCTGAGTAATTCTGGTGCATCTTATCTATTTTTACAGGGAATGGGAACATGGAGCAATCATTTTGAGGGTAGATTTTTGCAGCAGAGGGAAATTTTTTTATCTGCTCCCAGCTGGAAGGACAGTTATGATTTGTCTGCTGCTCTCCAACCTCAGGCCTTTAAGGCACAGAAAATCCCACAGCATGCTGCTCCTCCCACGAGGCTCCTTGTGGACAGGCTCCCCTGCCCTGGAAGTCAGGTGGACTGCAGGGTGTCCTCTCGTGTGTCTGATTTTTGTCCCAAGGGAGAGAGAGAGGGAATGTGAAAAAGAGCCTCTCCCAATGGGACTCGATTATCACAGCTTCTCCTGCTTTCAGCATAAAGAAATGCTTAGCTATGTGCTTGCCCAGTCTGCAAGAAACAAACTGTTCCCATTCCCTTCCCTCATCTCCCAAAGAGGCTTCCTTTCCTCCAGATGGAAACTAACCTCTCAAACCCAGTAAATCCACCCCGAATGCTGGACCTAAATAAGGAGTCAGAGGAAAGAGCTGCTATCTAAATAAATTCAGAGACAAGCAGCCTGTCTCTGCCCCTTCCCAGGGTCTTGTTTAAAGGCATCAAGACCAGGTTGGATGGGACTGAACAGCTGGTTTTGATATCTCTGTCCTCCTGGTGCAGCTCATCTCAATCCCAGTCTCTCCTCTACGCCAAACAGACTTTTCCCCTCCCCACTGCATTCCTGGTGGGACAGTCAGGAATTGTGTGGATGCCCATTCACATACTTAATGCTATAGAGAGGTACCTTGCAAAGTCTCCACTATATGGAATGCCATATCCCAACCCTGGAAGTGTTCCAGGCCAGGCTGGATAGGACTTGGAGCAACCTGGTCTAGTGGAAGGTGTCCCTGTCTGTGGCAGGGGGGTGGAACAAGATGAGCTCCAAGGTCCCTTCCAACCCAAACCATCCCGTGATTCTGTGATTCCATTCCCAGGGCAGGGAGCTGTGCTGGCCCTGCGAGCATCCCTCAGCCACAATCACCCTTCCTGCCTTTGTGACCCGCCCCAGGGAGAGGCTGAGGAGTGCCCACCGACCTCCATGAGCTGCTGCAGGGTGCTGCCACAGGCTCCCAGCTTGGTCATGGCGAAGGCCGTGGAGATGCTGAGGGGCGACAGGAAGATGTTCTCCCCGTTGTCCTTGGAGTCAGCCAGGTACTTGTAGAAGACAACGGCAAAGCGGGAGTTGGCCCTCGACAGCTCCCACACCCGGGGGTTGGTGGACTCCGGGAGCTTGTCCTTGGCCGGCTCCTGCCCCTCACCCTCGGGGCTTCCTCTCGGGGTTGCGGTAGATGCAGACGGGGCTGACGGGGATGTCGCGGGGCTTGGCGGTGCAGATGTCCCCCACGGCGTAGGGCTCGGGGACAGCCACCCCACACACGCCCAGGAGGCACAGCACGACCAGACGCATCATCCTGGAACACACAGGGAGCACTCAGGCACACGGCCTGTCCCCAAACCAGCCAACCTCGGAGGGACAGGAGCCCAGGCTCCTCTCTCCCATCCTCCCGTTGTCCTGGAGCTGCAGGATAAACCAGGAGGGCACCCAGACACCAGCAGAACAAATGCACCTCTAAGCCATCAGCCAGTGAGGTGGCTGCAGTGGAAGGGCCCTGCCTGTGTGGTGTTTCTCCAGGGTCACCTCACACTGTTCCAGTTCCTGATGCGGGAGACACTACGGCAGAGAAGAGAGGTGATAAGGGAGAGGTCTCCAGGGGAGTTGGTCCCTCTGTGCTCTGAGCATCTTTAATGCCCACAAAAATGTATTTTGTAAGCACGTGTGGTATAGCTGGTGCATCCCAGCTATTCCTGTCCAAAGCTCACACCACCTCAATGCAAATGGGTTGTCCCTGGTACCTGAGGAGGGCAGGGTGATGTTAACCACCACGTTCCAGCAAAAGTAGGCCTTTGAAAATCTTCCAGCAAGGCAGAGACAATTTATCTTTTCCACCTTTGCTAAAGCACACAGAATCATGGAACGGTTTGGGTTGGAAGGGACCATGAAGCCCATCCCATTCCACTCCCTGCCACGGCAGGGACAGCTTCCACTATCCCAGGTTGCTCCAAGCCCCGTCCAACCTGGCCTTGGACACTTCCAGGGATCCAGGGGCAGCCACAGCTTCTCTGGGCAAGGGTAGAATTTCCTCCTAAATCCCATCACCCATCAGCTCTGGCAGCGAGGCCTCAGCCATGCCAGGGCCGTGCACTGGGGTTCCGAGATGCCCTTGGCATGACTTGGGTTTGTTCACATCGCTGTGGGAGGAAGCTCACACACCACAGCCACAACAGCTTGGGAAACAACTACTGGGAAGGGCTGGCAGCCTGCCCGGGACTTGCCTGCCACGGGAGACTTTTTCAAACATGTGTGTGACTCGGGTAGGTCTCCGCCTGCCCCCACACGCTCACTGCATTGGCTACCGAGCATCACCTTCTGAGAAACTAAATTAAAAATCAGCTGCACTTGGCACCAGTGGCCCCTGGGTCTGTGGTTCTGCAGTGCTGGTGGGCCAGCATCTGTGGGAGGAAAACAGCAGCATCAAAAGGGCTGGTGTGGGATGAAGGAGAGCTCTGGGTTCTTCCACAACCCCCTCCCCGGGCTGTTGGGCAATGACTTCATCTCTGCTCCAGTTCCTCTGCAAAAGCAGAAATTACCTCATCTGGCACCAAGACTGAGTGGAGCCCCAAGGGCCCCTCTCCATCCGCTGATAGCACAGCAGCCAGGATTGTGAGAAAACACGCAAAACAAGGGGCTCACTCAGGCCACAGCCTCAGCTCTCACTGGGAATGACAAATCACCTTCCTAACATCACCTTCCTAAAGCTTCAGGACAGAGGCACACTACAAAGGGCAGAGCAATCCAACAGGGGAGGGCAGTCAAACAAAGGCAGAAACAACCCCCAACCCCCGGGGCAGGAGGGCGAGAGAAAGGAAAGCTATTGGGATAATTGAAAGCACTCCAGGAAGCGCCGCTCTTCCGAACCTTTCGCTCCCACCGGAAAAATCAGCCAGCAACAAGCCAAGCATGCTGCAGAGCTCCGTGGCCCTGGGGCCGGGAGTAGAGCCCTTCCCTGCCTGCAGCAGCCCTCCCTCACCCACGCTGAGTCCTGCAGCTGCAGCAGGAAGGACAATCTCACCGCGGTCCCTGCCCCGGCACTCCACTCTCCTCCCGGGAAAGGCAGATCCTGACATGCCTGTACAAGGACAAATCCCTGCTTCTGCCCAGCCACGGGCAGCTCGTGGTGCCTGCCATGGCACAAAGTGCTGCTAATCCGGTCTCACATTTAAAACCAAAGCACAGGAGCGATGAGAGCACCTCATCCTCACCCTGTCCTGACTAAATGGGAGAGACTCCCTGTTCCTGCTCTGCAGTAAAGTCCTGGGCCATCGCTTGAGAGGAGATACAGGACTTTCTGCTAACCCCTTAAACCAACTTTACCCTCCACTAAGGCTGGCCTGGCCCCTGGCACGTCCAGTCCAGTCTTGGCTCTTACAGGCAAGAGCCTTTGCTATTTCTTAGGCCAGCTCTTTGTTGTAGCACTTGGCCAAAACCCACTCCCCCTCCCCTCCCAGCTCTTCAACGCTCCCTTTTCCCTTGCAGCACAGCCACACGCTCCATGTGTCAACAGCTTTCGTCCTGGAAGGATCCCAAAGTATTCCCAAACAGCACTGCCTGAAAGGGGTTACTGGCAAGGGACAAAGTAGAAACTAGAAAAGGCTCTTAGAGGGGTAAAGCAACAAAAAGAAGTGTAGAAAGCCAAGGAACAAGTTGCTGATTCAGCTTGAAATCAGAAGGCTCTGGGAAGGGCCGAGCAACTCCCCCATCCCATGGCTGCTGTGACACAGCTGGGCTCCAGCCACAGGCCCCTTCCATCCCACTGTTCCTCATGGCTGCAGGGCAGGGCAGGGCAGGGCAGGGCAGCTAAGTGGGTTTGCAGACCCCCAGCACCCACCCTGCTGGACCTACTGGGGGTACTGGTGGTGGCGTGGCTGTCCCACAGCACCCACGCGCTGTGTGCAGAGCCCAGCTGGTGGGAAGCAGCTCAAACCATCATGAGATTAACTCTGGCTCCAGAGGAACCTTCCCTGCCTCCCCACATCCCAAACTCAGAGTGCAAAGCAAACCAGGGGTGCTCTCCCACAGCCAGCGACTGCTCGGGACATCCTGACCTTAGGAATTCTTTTCTCTCCACACCACAAAGCACTGCTGCAGGTTGGGGATAGAAGTCGAGCAGGATGCTTTAGTGAGCTGTACAGAAGTCAGCCTTCCTGAGAGCTGGGATGGGGAGGGAGGATCCTCTAGAAAAGAGCAAAAAGCCCACTCTGGCAGCAGCTAAAATTCACAGGCTCCTACAAAGCGAAAAGAACCTGTTACAAGGAGTTAATTAACAATGAAAGATTAGTGGAATCTGCTTCTCTTACCTGCCCCTCCAGCCTTCTACTTTTAGGATGTAAATGCAAATTGTTAAGAGGACAGTCTTGCTTGAGCCCAAAGCCTTTTCCCCACTGGATTTCTGTGCTCAAGCAGAGCTGAGACAACAGCAGGGGACAGTGGGAGGGGAGTAGGATGCTGAGGCCAAAGGCTGATGACCAGCTGCTGAAGGTTAAGCAAAGAGCAGGGAAAAAAGCAATGTTTAGTTTGAAAGAGGTTTTAAAGTTCAATCTGACAAGGGAAAGTTTGACCACCCACCCACACAAGTGCCAGATGCCTTCAGTTCCTGCCCACAGCAAATTAACTGCTTACCCCATGAGAAGAAACCCAAAACTTTGAGGAGTTCAAATAAAAGTGTGACGATCCAAGCTATCTTTAATTCTCATTTGGAAACGAGAATTAGCAAAATGTTTCCCCACCCTGTCACCTGTCCCCCACTTCCAGACAGGCACAGGCTGGGAGAAGCTGTCCCCCTTCACACTCTGCAGTTTCAAATGACATCTTAACGACACTCACCTGGAACAGGCTCCCCTGGGAAGTGGTCACTGCTCCAAACCTGCCAGCGCTCCAGGAGCGTTTGGAGCTTGGGCAACACACGGTGGGATTGCTGGGGTGCCCTGTGTAGGGTCAGGAGTTGGACTTGATGATCCATGCAGGTCCCCTCTTCCAGCTCAGGATATTCCATGGTTCTGTGTCCTTTCACTTGCACAGCTGGAAAGCTGAGGATTAACAGCAGCTCCCCCATCTGCAGTCCAGGTGCCCGTGGCAGTGCTGGGAGCGGGGCTGAGCAGCACCATTGCCCACCTGGGATGCAGCTGCTCTACCAGCTACAGTAAACCTATTTTTTGAGTGCAGCAGGTAAGTGGTAATTTATTGTTGGTTCAGCAATAAATATGGGTGCTCACTGAGGAGGTTTATGATGAGGCACAGGGCAGATGACTCACGGACTCGAGGGAGTGAGATGGGATCAAGCAATCCCATGTTCTGGGCTTGCCTTCTCCAGCTCCCTTCTATCCTACTACCCACACCTAAAGGGAAAAAGATTTTCCAGCAGGTACCACCCATGTGAACCCGGTTCCCCCCTCTTTTCACATTAAAAAAAAATCCCAATTTCCCCAAATTTCTCTTGAAGCAGAACAGCCACTGCTCCCTTTCAAAGGGATCTGACTCTCCACAGCACTTCAGATCTTCCTTTTAAAAGCCAGAAGGCTCTGCCTGCCCTGCAGGAGGAGAAGGAAGAGTTTTTCAGCCAAGCAGCAGCTTTGGTTCGGCCAGTTTCAGATTTACAGCCAGATAATGACTTGTTAGAGCCCACAAAAAAAGGACTGAAAGGAGAAGATTAAAAACCACAAAGCAGACTGTGGAACAAACTCTCATGACTCTAAGGCAAGTCCCAAACCAGGCTCAACATGTGACGAGTGCTGCTCGCTCCTTCTCTGAAGGGTTTGGGTTTCAGATATGTACTCTGAGCAACTGGCAAAACATTACTTTGAGTATCCCTCTCATCCACCTCTGGGGAAGGAGCCACTTTGTTTACAGGTGGAGTCAGAAGAGAACAGACCAGACCAAGGAGAGACAAGTGGCTCATCTGCTGTTTGCAGCTCTTATGGTCCAGCCCAGCAGAGAATGAACACACCCTGACCTGGAGAAAGCCTTACAGAGATGATCTGACAGTCCTCCACCTCACTGGAAATCTGGAAGAGTGCACATTCACCCCAGACAGAAAACAAGAGATATTTCAGTGTTCTCCATTAATTTATCATTTAATATAAATGCTGACAGAAAAGCAGGTAAGACCTTGTCTATTTACAAACCAAATGGCGAATCATCACCTTTCCAACCCTTTTTTTGTTGAATCTGCAACTCAAAGGACCCTCAGACACTGTGTGAGAGCAAGGTGAGGTTGAGACAGCTTTAAGAGAGAGAAAAGCAAGGTGAAGACTGAAGAAATAACATTTCAACATATGGCTTTTTCTGTATAACCACCATGCACACACAAAAGCTCTCCACTCCCTTGTCCTCTCATAAAGATGACAGTGTTGGCTGAAGATAAAATAAAGGAGACAAATACTGACTTTCAGATCTCTGGATTCTTTTGCCTCCTCCAATCCACCCCGCCCCACTTCAGCACAGTATCTAAAAGGCTTTTCTTTCAAGTTTAAAAAGTGTATTGCAGGAGTAAAGACACAGGGAGTTGGATATAGAGAACTCTTTCTTCTACTCCTTTTGTCATCTTAAGTTTTCCCCAAAGGTAGCAAAGCACCCAACCTTTCCTGGAAGAGAGGCACCAACTCCCTCTGTGCCTCTGAACATCTCCCCTGTGACCGGGCCTGTAGGTACAAGACTTCAAAAAGTCCCCTGAACTTGCAAAGAATTCAATTTATGGAATTCTTCTCATACATTCTACTTCATCCCTACTCCTATTAAGAATGTTTTGATAGTTACAGACAACAAATATCACAATATCAACCCACAGTCAGCCATTCCCATAAAAGAGTGAGAATTTTTGTTGATGGGAAGGAGGAACAGAAAAGGAAGAAAACAGCAGAAAGAGAAGAAAAGCAAGAAAAAACCCAGTTCAAACAGAGACTGAATGAATGTTTTGTTCAGCACTGATTCATGAGAACAGCAGACAGGGAATTTCATTTATCCAGGATCCTAAATAAATTCAAGAAATAGTTCATAACCTGACTCAACAAACCTCATGGTCTCCTTTTTATTACCTAGACTATCCTTTATTTTATTTTTTGTTAAATATACCTCTGCAGGGCACAATCACATACAATCAATACGATTGGAAAATTACATGAGCTCTATCCCAAGCATATACGCACCAATGTTAAAAAGTTATTTTAAAAAAAACCAACCAAACAAAAAAAAATTAAAATAAAACTCCACCCAAAAAGGTGATAATGACTGCAGAATGTCTCGGGGAGACTCGTATGGAACTAACAAGATCGAAGAAAATCAGGCTTACAGAAACCAGGAAAACAAAAATCATCTCTAGAGAAATCCCACAACTGGAAGCAGATGATTTCAGAGAGGGTGTGGGAGCCCTTGGAGAGATCCCACAGCTTTTCTGCCCTCCTCTCACATGTGCCTTTTGTCACCTCTTCCTCCCCACGGCAGCAAGTCCAGCGGGGAGAGAGCTCGACACCGCTCCCAGTTCCAGAACACAGGGAAGAACAGCCAAGCTACGGCACAGTGGCTAAGCTGACTTCGAGGAAAGCTCCTTTTAGCATGGAGGCTGCTTACACAGCAAGCAGAGGCCAAAGGGGGAATGGGAACTCCTTAAAATCAGGAAAAAAAACTCTTAAAAACCATTGGATTTGCCCAGGTGGGGCAGCCCCGCTGGCGAGAGGCTGCAGGTGAATGGTCCTGTCACGAGCTGTGCAGCAGCTGGGGGGGCACAGGGGCTGCCCCTCCGCTCTCTCAGGTTGCCTCACACGTTTATAAAAGGCTGCTGCCAAGTTTCTTTTTAAAAAGCTACAAATAAAGAGGTCAGCACACACATCCAGTTGTGGGATCCATCCAATACACAAGCTGGTTTGGATGCCAAAGACTTGTGAGCACTGTCTGCCACAGAACTGTTAATCAGTTATCTTTAACATTACAAAGAAGCAAATAATGTCTTAAACATCAAATATTCCACAAGATTTTCTTTTTCTTTTTTTTGCTTACAGATATATTTTCCCCATATACATTTCACATGTAATTTCACCACGTATAATGCTTTTTATTTCCAGAGACACTGCACCACCTGTTGCTTCCATCTCTCCCAACACTGCATGTTTCAAACTGGAGTTGGTAATTGTGTTTTCCTAAAGCTCTTCAGATCTCAGAATCAGTTGTTTCCTGGCACATGAAAACATCCAACTGGTATATCCAAGGAAAGCTGCCTTGCTGGATGTCCCTAGTCACCTAAAACCCTTCCCAAACTGCTGAACACCTGGCAGCTGGCACTCAAATCATACACAGACTCACTGGAATGGCAAAGATTGCCTGGGATGGATCAGTTAATTATCCCTGTTTCTAAGCTACAGGCATCCAATTCTGAACATTATGGCCACATATTTTAAGCTTCAAATGACTGGGATGTTCAGACAAATCCACATTGCCACGTGCTTGTCTGACTGGGAAATTTCAGGAAAAGCTGCAGCCTCTTTGCCTATCAGTGTTCACAGACTTCCCACGACATGGTATCACACTTGCCATTAGGAAATTAGATTATAAACAAAATAAGCATTGAGTTTGTTCTCCTTTCCCTGCTAATTAAGCTCTCCCTGCAGCACAAGAAGTGCCTTGGATGCTGTGACAACACTAAGCCATTACATTCCTCTTCCTACAGAAGAAGAAGGACCACATTTTAACTGTGGAAGGACACTGAACTGGAATAACATTCCCCAAAATTCCTTACTTATACAGTATAAGTTGAACTAACTTAACTCCAGCCTCTTTCATCCACTGCTATTCCAACAGAAAATAGTGCAGTTGGTAACACTTGACTGTGGAAAAGAGAACCCCCAATGAAGTTTTTGACATTTCAGTGTCTACTTGATGTGAGAGCAAATCAATTTGTGCTACAAAATAACCTGGATGTTGATTTACAAGCAACAACCACCCAACTCTCGGTAGCAAGGCTGTACCCTAAAGGTGGCTCAGGAGATCTGCTTCCCTTCCCTCAGAAATTCAGTTTACACTTTCTCAAGCGAGGCAGATGCTTTTCCAGTTCCTGCCTACATGACCATGTACACAACTCAACAGCTTCTGCTTCCTGGGTTGTTGTTGGTGTTTTTTTTTTTTTTTTTTTTTTCAGTCCAGCAAAGATATTTTTCATTGGGGTTCTTCAGATAACTGTCCTGTAAGTCTACTTTGTTATGGCCCAGATTTATAAATGGCAATGGAAATGAGGGTTTGTGCTGCTTGGACTCAAAAGATTTCTCTCTGAACCTAAAAACCTTGGTACCAAGCCTGCAAGAGTTTGAGAATATCAAGGAAGGGAAATGCAAGTGGCTTTATTGTGTTATCAATAAAAGCCTCACTCCTGGCCCTTTCTAGGACAGAATCTGCCCCACCTTACTCAGTTTGTGCTGTCAAGAGACAATATGACCATCCAAGTTTGGTTCTTCCACATCTAATTTAATGTAATGCTGGAGTTTGACAAGTCTTTCCAGTTCCAATAGGCTTAAAAGTCAGTCACATTTGTAACACACATTTACCTTTTAATGTAACTGAAGAGATTTTCCATCGGTATTCAATTTAGATTTAAAACATTAAAGACAAGGCTTCTTGGATTATGAGATTTCTATGTTCCTTCTCCCTCTCTAAAAGAGCCATTCCATCAGCTGAGAGACTGCATGAGAGACTGAGAACACGTCACAACACCCCAGATACATCTCAGTACATTGCAAACTGTATGACTCAATGGAATGATTTTCCACAATTCAATGCATGGGCAAGGCTTGACAATCATTAACTTCTGGAAATAGTTATTAGGATAATACAGTCAACTCACAATACCCTACAAACGCTTGACAATCAAAACGGCTACACCAGGGGAAAGGAAAAAAAAAAAGTGTAAAGCACAAGTCTTTGGCTCTCCTTTAAAGAAAACAGCAGTTTACCATGTTTATACAGATCCCCCGTTTGCCTACCAGTAGGGGCAATATCACATTTGTGCATCACTGAGTAATAACACCATTAGAAAAGGCAACTTCACAGAAGTTATTGGCTAAGCGAATTCATTTGAATGCTCTGTTTTGAGGCAGCAAGCTGTCACTGTTACACAATCAGGGAGGGTGGATGGGCAAGCCACGGGAGGAGAGGAGGGAAAAGAAAAAGGGAGAGAAGGCTCAGAAAAAAACCAAGACAGAGAAGAAGTTGAGAAGGAAGGGGATAACTGAGCTGCAAGCTTGAAAAGTGGTCTGATCTAGAGAAAAGTCCTACTCTGAAATGGGACAGCACGCAAGAGGGGCAGGACAAACAGTTTAAATTTCTCCTATTAAGAAATCAGAACTAGGTCACAGGAGAGGAAGAGATGTTGACAGGAGGGAAGTAGCATTACAGAATAAACAGACATTTCTACACTGACTGAATCACTGACACCCTGAAGCTCAACCTTCCCCTTGAAGCCTTCTATTCTGGGGGCTCTGTCCGTGCTGGGGCTGGAGCCGGGGTATCAGTGAGGGTTCAGAGTTGCCTGGTGCAGTAGGAAATTCCATCTACATCCCAAAGGAGGCAGCAGTGCCCTGACACCATGGTAATTAATACTACTGCTTCTCACCCAGGCAGAAGGAACTAAAGCAATCTGCAGCCAGGAGCAATCTCACAGAGGTGGGCAGCGTTCCTGTACAGCTGGGACAGTGATGGGCCATGGCAATGAGTGTACCAGGATAGAGTCACTCCAGACATTTTCACTCCCTGCTTACTTGTTGTAACCATCAGTGCTGCCAACTGCACGTAGAGCTCTCTGTCCTCCGAGTTCTCCTAGTTTTTCCACAAAAAGGGAATATTTCATGTGCAGTTTTCAGAAAAAGACTTAAAAAGCATGCACTGCACTTTGCTGTTCAACTTGTTTGATCAACTGAACTTCTGCAAAAATTAAAAAGAAAGGATAAGAGGAGGAGGGGAAGAACCAAAGCTAAAAATCAATACTGTTAGTAGATATTAAACACATTATTTAACAAGCCAAACTATAATTCTGGGCAAACAGGGCATTCACCTGGACACACTGATCACAGCAAGGACACTATGCACAAAGTACAGCACAGAGAGTTGGATGAAGGGGGGAAAAAACCCCAACAACAGTAAGGTCTCCTTTCTAATCCCCAAGTTTTGGAAGCATTCACCCTATGTAGGCCAGCAATCTGAACAGCTCTTACTGCAGAATTCCTCCCAGCAGAAGAAGTGGAGAAGGAAATAAACCCTAACCTGACAAGAGAATTGGTTAAATAAGAGGTAAAAAGGTTTTCGTCCTCCAGATTTTCTTCCTAGTGTTGCAAGTGAATATCTTGGAATCAAACCTATTGTAACCGTCTTTGAAAACTAATTTTACATCCACAATTACTGCAGTTAAAAAAAGGAACATTCTTGTCCTCCTAGATTAGAATATTGCACTAATTATCTCAGCTAAGGTGAGCTCCCTGTGTTAATAAAGACACAGCAGGAAGGACTGAACGAATTAAGACCAAGGAAACCTGAGGGTGGTGCTGTGCACTAAAGGATGGCAGGAGAGGGCAGGCTGCCTGTGCCAGGTGAGTTGGGAGCAGGCAGGGAAACACCATCATCCTCCTGGGCAGAGCAGAGAAGGGAGGAACAAACTCCTGGATCCCCCCGGCCCTGCTGGGCTCCAGGAGAGCGGCTGGAACGCTCAGGCTCCGGCTGGCTGTGTGGGACACGCTGCGGGTGACGCTGCCCCAGCGCAAAGAGGATTCTTTGAGGGTTAGAAAAGAAAGCAAGTCTCAAACTACCCTTGGCAATGAAGAGGCCGAAGTTCAACTAAGAGCGAAATAAACCCATGTGAAGACATCTGGAGAGTGTGGGGGTGTGAGCTGAAAAATGCCTTTATTTTCATTCAGTGCTTCTACCTCCCGGACATTTGATCACAACAGCTGCGCTCATGCGAAAAAATTCTTAAAACATACCCAATATATATACAGATATAACTATGTATATATGTATATATATATTTATATATAAATTTTTATTTAAATAAAAAAGAAAGCTCGAATCCCAAGCCAATATGTGTATCAAATCCTTGACCAGCCAGGTCTGTAGGGCATAATCAAATTCAATGTGAAATAGTATATAAACGCGGTGCCTTGACTGGGCAAATTAAATAATTGCTACTCAAAAGAGTCTTCTGTTTGGACTCTCCTACTGGTAGGCAATAGTGGGACTGTATCCCCTCCCACCCCCCCTTTTGTTTTATTTAAACAGTATGATGAATGCAAAGCTTAGCCCAAGGTTGCTATGACCTCAGCAGGAGTTAAGGTTAAGGAAAAAAACTAAAACCCAAGAAAATTCAATAACTCTTGCTTTACCCAACCAAAGCAATGCAGTAATTTATTACATAACCAGTGCTTTCCCATTTAGTAGTCTAAGCCACAAAAATTAAAAATGAGAACACGGGCCAAGAAGGTGCAGAGGGAGCAGCACTCAAACATCCTTCTCCAGGGTTCTTCGTATCCAGGGTCTCACCCCAGGGTATGTCAAAGCAGTCAAAAAACGTGCAGCAAGAATAAAATAATTCATTTATCTTTTAAAGAAAACATCAAAAAAGGTTTATGGCTTCTCCAACTTATGCTTACAAAGCATCTACTTGGGAAGCAGTAGATCTATCAAGCAAATTTGCTTCTCAGTACTTCTGGCAGCATCTGTGCTGCACCTTCAGAGGTCATTTGGATGCAACTTTTTCCTTAGGAAAGGAGAATCCAGGAAGGATTCACTGCAGCACTGACAGACAAGCTGCAGGCTGACTCTCTGGTGCCAAATTCTAACACACACAGACCTTAAACAACGCCAGCTTGCAAAAACCTGCTGAATTGCAAGGATTGTGTCACTTGTAGCTTGAATTCAACGATTTAAGCAAGAAGCTGGGGTTCAGCTCCTGGCCACAACGGGAGGAGCTGTGTTATGAAAATGCTGCACATCTTTTGACACTGCAATTTCACAGCTACTCTCCAACCCTCATTCCTTGTTTACTCTTTAACCACACAAGGAAGCGGCCAGGCTGTTTTAGTCATGGAGAAATTAAGGTGATAAGGAATTACGCACTGGGTATGTAATAATACCAAAATAAAAGAAAAAACCTACTTCATTAAGATCATACAATTAATCAAACAGAGTATATATATAATATCTTTTTTTTTTTTAAGCCCTGGGATTCAAGGCGTCCAAAGTTATTAAAATAAAGTTCATTCACAGAACAAAAACAAATTTAATTTGAATTGCTTGCAGATACTGCTAATTTTCATTTTTTTTTTTAATTAAAAAATGCGTTAATGTGAACTATGTGCAGGATTTGTTTCTAGTAGTTGTGTTTGTGCACATTGCCTCTGGACCTGCTGCTCTGCTACTGCTGCTGCTCCCGGCTTTCTCCGATCCCCCCTGGAAAACAACGCGCTGCCACCCCAGCAGGAGGAGCTCGGGGTGAGCCGGCCTGGCTTCACGGAGCAGACGTGGGGGTCACTCCCGCTCGCTGGGAGTCGTGGCCGTCCCCTCCTCCCTCAGGGTCCTCTGACAGGCTCAGAGACGCCGCCTTGTTTGACAGGAGGCCGATGTTGTCTTGGGTCAAAGCCGATCCGTTGGGAACATCACTGCAGGGGGAAAGGCCAGGACAAAGGGGAAGAGGGTGAAAAGAATGAATTCCTGAGATTTTCTCATTTATTTCAAGTACAATGACTTCAGTGAACACATTCCAGAACATTTAACTCACCTGGGTCATTTATCTAATGTTGGGTGGTTTTTTTTACATAAAAAACATTAAATAGTTGTTCTGATTTCATTACTTTCAGAGCTCCATATGAAAAAACTAGTTCCTGCTCTGGAGGTTTCAATCTAACGGTGCAGCGCAGAACTCAAGAATTGGTTATAAGAAGAAAGTGCAAACTTCATCATCAACTGGGGGACATTTTCTGAATAAATATCCAGATTCCAAACTGCTCACATCAAGTTCTGTACACGTAATGACATCTGAGCTTCTCTGTTCAGTGTTAGTCTCAATACACACAGATGCTTGTGGCCATCTGAAAATACTTGCTGTGGAGATTTCCAGCATTCCGAGCCAACAGCTTATTCCAACTGTCTATTAAATGTGAACTGAAATCAATCCCAGCATCTCCACAGAAAAAGATAACTGCCTACAAATTAAACAGAACTTAGTTGCAAAGTCACGTACCTGCCTGGACAAATCCACACGACAAAGCTTAGCAGGGTGGAATAACTTGCCTCTCACATTTGGGACATCTATTTTCTTTGAAACCAATATACAGGTAGAGATTTCTTTTATGGTTGTTGTTTATCTCCTCCTCCTCCCTATTAATCATCCAGTGCTGACGAGATGGACTCCTGGTCTGACAGACATTGCAGATCTTCTGTTGTATTAATTTACCTAAGCCTCATTCCACTCACCTACTCATGAACTAAAGCAGTCCTTAATTCACACTTGCACTACCCTCTTTTCCTAGTAGACGCTTCCCCACCAGAGCTGATGTGAGGCAGGGGGAATTATTGACCCAGGAGAGTGCCCCTGGATGAAATCACGCTCCTGTTACAAAGACAGGTTGAAGGTCCACGTTACCTGAATGTCAGTGCGAGGTCCTCAGCTGGAACCTTGCTTTGTGGCTCTAATTGTCCATTTTCTGTCTGTTTAGTGGTGCCCAGTTTGTTTTTCATATCCAGTGAAGACTGGCTCTCCTTTAAAGAAAAGGACAGATGGAAAATTCTTTAACAGTGTGCTAAAAGAATCGGAGACTTCCTCCTTTAGGGCCAATGGTGAAGGCCCGTCAATTGGAGTCACACAGTGTAACCCACAAAAGCCATGAGACAAAAACAGACTAAGATTTGCTCATCCTCTCGGGACAGTATTTCCCAAAAGGAGGGGATGATCCTTGTAACAACAAGCGAAGGCCACAGACTGTAACAGCACACAGACTTCTCAACACTAGCCTGTACCTGCAGGTGTTTTCTACGTTAAGGCAGTTTATGGAACTCATGGCACAGTGACCTTGGAGACTGTTAAATTTCAGCGCCACACTTATTTCAAATGGCAACAAAATAACAGCATTTTCAAGTGGCTAGAATTAAACTTCTTCATGAAGAAGACTGGAGAAACTTCTCAGGAGGTTTTGAAGAATGAAGAGGTGAAGAGGGAGATGGCTGGCTCCAGCTGTGGGCATCCAGCCTTTCTGCCAGGCTTACAGGGCTCTTCACCTCTCTGCCTCCCACCCCCCCAGCACTCACCATGCTCAGCTCACGGGTTCTCTTCCCAATTTCCCTTTCCACCTGGTGTAGCTCCAAGCTCAGCTGTTCACTTGAGATCATCCCAGGCCACTTGGGAGGCGGGGGTGGGGGCTGTGGTTGGCCTGCCAGGGTAGTCGCCTCCCTCTGCAACAGCAGCCTGTTACTAACAGCCTAAATGCATAAAGCCAAGCACACACAACTGAGCACAGACACCGGGCACGGGGGGAGCTCGAAGGCCACAACGCCACAGTATTGCTCGTTTGCAAAACCAGCTTCCCTCTCCACACCTCACAAGGTCCCAACTGAAACCACTTCCAGTGCAAGTTTCAACGGGCTTGTTTACACAGACCTTTAAACAAGCAGGGTTAAACATCTTTTACTGCCATAAATTTGAATGTGCTTTCCTCACATACCACTCCCTCCTCAAAACTAAGATTAAGCCCCTGCACAACAATCATTACTCTTTTGTGAGCTATTTGTTGGACAAAATGTAGCAGCAGGTAAGCCAATCTACTGCTTTATTTCACAGCAGAATTTATCAAGCTCTGAAGGAGAGCCAGAATTATTACCATGTCATATAAAACATCGAGACATGTAGATGTCAATATGCAGCTCTCATTCAGAGATTGTAAGTTACTCAAAGCAGCAGCCATGGCAGCCATTCCAAAAATCTGCCAATAACTTGGGAACCAGTTCTGCAGTTGTGTGCTCTGCACTTAAACACAACACCTAGGAGTGCACACAACCCAACATGTGGCTGGTCTTCAAGCAGAAATGCTCACTCATTTGGGAAGAAAGCAGAATGATCTAGTTCTTCATTGCTGCAACCTTGTAAGAGGTAAATCAGTGAAGACTCCTGGATTTCTAGTACCCACTTGCAGCTCTGAACACAAGAGATAAACTGAGAGCTGCTGTTACTCAAAACAACTGAGCAGTTCTGCCGACTTCAAATTACAGTAAAATCAAGGCTCAACACTCAGCTCTGTAGGATTTAACACTGAGACAATCCCAACTGTGATGGGCAGGAGAGGAAGGCCACTCATGGGTTTTGCAACTTTCCAATACTCTTCTATTATGGCAAAGGCAAACATGCAGGATTTAAAACATCTTCTCCTCTCGTTCCCAAACAAGAGCACAAGAACACAAGTTATGTTTCAAGTAACTAAGTACTGCACATTCCTGCAGCTGCTGCTGTGACTTAATTGTGAGCTCTGACACCTAATCTGCAGTAACCCTTCTCTAACACCTGTTCTTAGGTAACCATAGTGTCAGCAGAAGTTGCTATCCACTACTTACAGCAATGCCTTCGGTGAAAACATTAACATGAATTCAGCAACATGAATGAACAAGTTGCCGAAGTACTTAGTTTTCTGATAAATATTTACTGATTTTTCCTAGGAGGAGAACAATAACTTAAGCTTGGCTAAAACACTTCTTTCTTTATGCCCTGACACTTCTCCTGTGTCTCACAAAAGACTTCAGCTCATTAATTCTTTTAAAAATTAAAGTGAGGAGACACAGACTGTTAAGCTCTAATTTTTCAAGCTAAATATATTTCATATTTACTTCCTTGACTCTTGTGGCTTGTGCTATTTAGGAAGAAACAGGTGCAAACACAAAGCCAAACACGAAACAGAGGAAGGTCATGGCTTTCTGTACCAAAAAATCACACATTTCCCACGGCAGTAAAGCCAGGAGGAACAGGCACCTACACCATGAGTTTGCTTGTGAGCAGAGAGATGAACAGAGAGGGAGTGAGAATGACAGCAAACATGACTGAGCAGAGTGCAGAGTCAAGCACGGTGTTGATCTGCACGTGAAGGTTCTGCTGCCGAGCAGAGGCTGCCACTGTACCCTGGCCCTGAGGCCTGGCATCACGGAATGAAGTGTTTTCACCGAGTGTCGTGACAGTCAGGGACAGATCAGCCCGTGAAAAGCAGCTTTACCAGCTTCATCTCTCTCCACAGCACCCCTGACCGCTGTTCCAAGGGCTGGTACCAACCTCCAGTCCCCGCATTTGTGTCTGCTGGCTGATCTGATGGTCCACCTGCTGCAGCTCCATGCGCAGCTGCTGCTCCCGCTCAGCCGAGGGCAACTGCTTCCCGTGACCAGCCATGTCCGGCATGGACAGCCTCTCCCTGTGGGGCCAGAAAAGAAAAACATAAGGAGAGTTCTATTAAAAAAAAAAACAAAACAAAAACAGCAAAAAAAAAAAAGCTTTACTCAGGTGGTGCAGAAAAAAAATAAAGAAAATTTAGCAAAAGGCAAAGAAAACTCAGAGCGATCGTACCTGTCATTGAAACGTCCCTGAGAAGGTATATTTTGATGAGGAGAATATGGAGAGCCTCCCCAGCCACCATGAGTTCCATAAGGACTGTAGTCTGCCAGTGAACAGAAAGAAAACCAGGTTGCATTATTACACAGCTATCCTTCCAGCAGTTCAGCCAACACAGAACTGGACAGACAGAACAACAAGAAAGGCCAACCCTCTAAGAGTGACAAGTCTAACATTTCTTCTGATTGAAGGCAGAAATACTCCACGTGACTGGTCTCATGTGCCTAAGGCACAACTCTCCCTACACACCCAACAAGATCTGTGACAGCTCTCCAGAGTATGAGACTGAAGGACTGCAGGGAGATGGGCACACAAAACCAAACCTGCAGCCACTATGAGAGCAGTTATTTTTACTATCTGAGTTCCTAAAAGACTCAAGAGCTAACTGATAATTCTGACACACCTACTTAAGTACAGTTTGAAGATTAAGTTCTCAGGGAAGTCAGAGTTCTACCTGTAATAAAGTCTAGAAAGTTACTGCCTGAAAAATCTAGAAGGAAGTTTGGGAGAATATAATTAATTCTTTTCTTAAGGTTATTCAGTGCACCTCAAGAAAGAGACCATCTCTGGGAGTCCGACAGAGAGCAGCACTATACATATTATTAGAAAATAGATGTGTTGAAAATGACCTATTCTTACTTTTTTACTTGGCCTCACAGTACACAAGATAATGGCTGCATTAAGCTTGCAGAAGCTGCTACTCATTAAGCATGAGAGCAGCAGTACAGTACTTCATCATGATGGTTTCCCATCACGTATTTGGGAAAGCCCTAAGCTTCTGGATTCTACTGCAACTGATTTAAAATAAGGCTCACCTCAGAGCGACCGGCAGGACAAAGTAACTTTGTCCAAACAGCAACAACCAATCACTAAGACATACACAATATGTGCACAAACCTGCCACAGAATCACTGAATAACCTGAGTTGGAAGAGACCCACAAGGATCCAACTCCTGGCCCTGCTCAGACACCCCAACAATCTCACCCTGTCCCTGAGAGTTGTCCAAACCCTCCTGGAGCTCTGGCAGCCTTGGGGCTGTGCCCACTGCCCTGGGGAGCCTGTTCAGTGCCCACCACCCTCTGGGGGAAGAACCTTTTCCTAAAACCCAAGCTGAACCCCCTAGTGACCCAGGTCCGTGCCATTCCCTCAGGTCCTGTCACTGCTCACCACAGAGAAGATCCAGTGCCTGCCCTTCAGCTTCCCCTCGTGATGAACCTGCTGACTGCAATGTCTCTCTTTCTCCAGGCTCAACAGACCGAGTGACCTCAGAAAGCACTGGCAGCCTTTTCCTCCAGGCTTCTCAGGCTAACCCTACCTGGAGTTATTTTTAGTGGCACAACACACACCTCAGCTACGCTCCTAAGGCAAGAGCCAAGTTTACAGGGCTTGCCTTCAACTGAGGCACTACAGAAAACAGCAAGAGTTTACAACAGTAAAACAGCAGAGCACAGCCCGTACCTGAAATGATGGGTTTGGTGGCCGCTCCCTGAACCGCCATGGCCTGCATGGGCCCCGAGCTCTGGTACATGGCTTTGGACGTGCGGGAGATGGCCCCGAAGCGCGACACCGTGGGCCGGTCTCCGAAGGGGATGAGGTCGTCGTCGCCAGCCTCGGCCGCCCGGCGCTGCAGGTCCAGCCGCTGCTCGCGCAGGGCTTTGCTGTCCACGTTCTGCACGAGACACCGGTCAGGGATTAACTGAGCCACAGCTGGCAGCAGCAGAGCAACTCCTGCATCCTCCACTCACTTCACCTTTCAGTCAGTCTCCCTGCCCTTTGGTTTCTAACTCTGCTGTTAGAGGGTCTGACTAAGATGACCATTCCTACACCCCTGGGAAGTGGCTGCATAATGAACTGGGAACTCATCCAGCAGCAGGGAACAGCAGCAAAGGGAAATTAAGACACGGAAAATCTAATGGGAACAGATGGGGGAAAAGACCTCCTCCTTAAATAAAGTCCAAGATGACATCAGGGGGCCTCTCTGAGGAATATATGGCCCTTCTAGAGGCCAAAAGAAATTTCTCTGAAGCCCACTGTTAAGAACTGTATCACTAACAGCCTGCAAATGACTCCAAATGGGAATTCTTCAGCACAGCACTTACTTGGACTTGTCTAGTACATCTTTTCAGGCACGTTTTTCGTTAAGGAGCAATCCTGCTTGGAACATCTTGGTTTCTAACTGAGCTTCACACTCAAACACCATAAGGGGTCAGCACATGAAGAGATTAAATGTTCTCTCTCTCTCCTCAGAGAGCTTAGTTAAATGGGAAAGCTGTTGGCTACCAGAAAATGCAATATGTAAGAACTGCCAAAATCTAGTTAAGACTTTAAACTAGATTTAAAAAACTGTAGCACAGTAAGAATGAGGGAAGTGGGGCTACTACACAAGGAGAACTGGCTAGAGGCTACAAAAACTTTGGTATGGTCCAAAATGAAAATAAAACTCTGCAAGCTTTCAGTGGGGATAAGGATGGCTAGAAACAGACAGGATAACACAGGTGAGGCAGGTGAAAACAGCAGTAAAAACCGAGTTGGAAGCTAGAGCCAAGAAATGCAACATTTGGAAACTGGAAGAGGCATTTAGCATTTGGAATTCTGGAAAAAAACCCCAAACATTGTAATCTTGCTGCTGCAGGATGCTAGTACCAATTTTAATTTATTTCTATTTACTGAGTAAAGTTGCAATGCCATCTGCATAATATTCAGCATTACGCACTCTCAGATGAGGCTACTCCCAACCTTGAAAAAAGGAATCTCTTGTGAACAATGAAAAAGGCAGAATTAATTCACTGAAGAATTAATTCAGTAAAGGTTTCCTGAGCATTTTTTCCTGTGAGGAGACAAAACCTGATGAGCAGTGGAGATCCTATTTGCCTGTCTGAAAATTAGCTCTGGGGCAGAAGGTTTTGTTTAGCCATGAAAAAGGAGGCTGCTTCTCCAGAACCCTGTTACTTCTGTTAATTGAGCTGCAGTTTGTTTGCACAGTTTTCCAGCAGCAGGGATGAAAGGCAAGAGCTGTTGGTTGATTCCTGAGCGGTGCCCCTCGGATACAATAATCCGATTCCCAGTAATCTCAGTCCTTCCCCGGTCAAACGTGACTGTTGTAACCCCAGGCAACCACCCTGTGCAGCACTGGGAGCAAGAGCACAAGTAAAAAGGCCAGAGCTGCAGATGAAATGCCTTTTCTTGCTGTGTTTCCTTCTGTGAGAAAGCCTCCTTTTTGCTCCCATTTCACACCGTGCCTTCGAGGTCTTACAGGAAAGCATTTCAGTGGACAGAAATCAGACACGTGAATTCCATTTGGGCAGAGGGGAAAAGGGGAGCCTGTTTGAGAAGCTGGACCAAAGAAATCCTATGATTTGGTTAAGTGTTTGCAACAGGTGAGCACCTGCCCACAGAAGAACAACTTCTGGATAGATATCTTTCCTCCCCTCCCTTACTGGCCAAAGAAAAGTCACATGACAGTGACAACAGATAAATAAAAGATGATAAATCCCTTTTGCAGGTGAGCAGTGATGGAGAACAGATCATATCTGTAAAGCAGTCCCTCAGGCTGAATGGTTTTTTCTTTTGAAGACCTGAATGTCTTCACACTTGCACAGGCTACCAAGCCTATTGCTGGTGTTGAGTGGTGCTTGAATGTTAGGAAGAACCCAAGTAGTGGTGGAATTTCAGACTCCTATTTCTTGTCTTCTCCATTCATGACTCCCAACAGTGACACCTCAACAGCTCTATGCAAGTTTTGAGTACTCTCATGGCCATAAATCAGAGTCCCTCATGTAAAAACTAAAAACATCTTAACAGTAACTAAGAGCACAAAGTTAAGTTCCAGCATCTCCCTCTGACAGAAAGAAGTACAAGAAGCAACAGATGGACATGCTTAATTAACAAACTGCTAGGAGAGAGTAATTTGGGGACTTCAGTTAAGTGTGAAGAGCCATGGTAAAATATCCTTGCTATCCATGCCTTCAGAGCAGAGTGTTATCCTGCCTCTAGATCCAGAATTTGGTAACAGCCACACCAGGGTAGGACTGTTGATAACTTTGAACACAAAGCACTCTGCACACCTGCAAATGCTTTCTGTGACTGCAATGCACTTTTGAGATCTAATACAAGCCCTAGAAAAGCAAATGAAAGTCTTTCCCAACCCACAGAGGCATCCACGTTTCTTGTGTTCCCCCTCATCCCCACGTACCGCCATGTCCACGCTCCTCGCCGCCACCACATCTTTGGGTTTTGCATCTTTGGTTCCGATGTAGGAGCCGATGGTGTCACAGGACCAGGGGGAGTACTGGCTGTAGTCATTTCCTTTGTATTTCCCAGCCACCTTCAGGTCTTCATCCAAGTACTGTACAAAAACAAACACCTGGTTCTGTAAGTGAGGGGAAGAAGCAGCTTCACAGCCACCCCTCCCTACTTCAAAAGCAGTGCACTTGAGAACCACCACCAGGATTATTTTTTTATCAGATACATCACCATTTGGAGTTGGGCCATGGCAGGCATGAAATGCATGAAATGCTGATCACCTGGCCATGCTCCCAGTGCTGACTGTTCACTTGGCCACTGTGAAAGTGGTATTTTGACCTTGGTTAAAAAAATAAGTCTCTGTCAAGCTGTTACTTAATTCTAAGAATGTCAGGAGCAAATGAAGCAAAGTCCAGTAACTGCAAAGACTACTTCAATAGCTCAACACTTATTTTCTTGGTTGCACCAAGAGCAGACAGCTTAGGATCAGTGGTAGGTCAGAGAATCAACAGCCAATTGAGATACTGGGGGCTGCAGTGCAAGGGCTTCCCACCTGGAGCACAAAATCCACAATCCACTCACACACTTATGAGTGATGTACTGTTTTGATTTTCTTGTTGCCTTCACCTGTCAGCACACAAAAACTCCAGAGTGTTTTCTAAACATGCCAGCACGTCACGTTTTTGTCAAAATATGCTTACCTCCTCTGAGTGGAAAGGATGAGGCAAGGTTGGTGACGGTGCAAAAGGAGGAGGAGAAATCACCTTCCTCTCCTCCAGCTGGGCCATGATCTCTTTCCTTCGTCGGTGAAGTTCATCCAGGCTGGGATGAGGCTGAAATGAAGACACAAATACTTTACAGAGCTCCTGCAGCATTACTGAACAAAACTAGTAATTTCCTAAGTGCTGTTTATCCAAACAAAATATGGCAGCCTTATCCTACAAGAAAGGGAAATACAGAGGACAGGCAGAACCATTAAAATAACAGATCATGATCACTTTGTTAAAGTCTTCCTGCTAACTTTCATGTTTGATACAGGGCATAAATGTTCCTACATGGGTCAGTGTTAGTTCAAGAAGCCTGAAAGGCAGGAAATGTGTCCCAACTTGGCAAAGTTTCCAGTGGAACATGTTCCAACACGTCAAGTCCCCATTTCAGTCATGTGGGTAAAAGTGGGAGAACTCTACAGATCATAACCTGGTCACATTAATTATTCATTCTGCATTGGAATTAAACATCCCACAAACATGTCAAACTCAAAACTGGTAAGTCTACACGCTATGTTAAAAATGCTTCCTGGACTCAGCAACAGGGTTCAGGGCCTTTAAGCTGAATGCCAGATGTTGTAAATCCAGCTATTCTGCACGACTTCACTCCAGCTGCTGCCTTCCCAGAACATGTTTGCCAACTGGAGGGTCTTCCTTGGAGAACTGTGCAATCTTAAGAGAAAATCTGGAAGAGTGGAATTCTCAATTCCTCTATCATGAGAGGTATGTTTAATATTTGTTGCTTAGGCAAAAATATTTGTTGGTCAGTCACAAGTGGGCAGTACAAGAACGCATATGGGACCATTTCCACAAACTGCATTTAATCTGCAATGGAGTGCAGATCAAACTCCAGCCTAATCTTTGCTGGAGAAACCAGGGCCACGTGAGACAATTACAATGCTTTTTACCAGTGCTCTTCTACTCTGAGCACCAAATAGCAGCCCGCTGCTCTTTTACATATTAACACCATTACAACTGCAGAGCTGACCAGTAACTAAACTGCCTCCCGGGTCCTGAGTGGAAACCTCTCTTTCCTTACAAAGCCCTCGCCACAGTAACATTCAGCTTGGAGCAGGGCGAGAAAGGACAGACGAGCACAAAAGAGCAGCACGAACCCTGTGGCAGGAGGGTCTGATCTGGCCGAGGTGCGGAGCCACGGGGCAATAGGCCTCTGCCTGCTGGTATCTGTCTCTGGCCTCGGGCACGTAGGGGGCGACGGCGGCGGGCGGGATGTCGATGGGCACGGGGCTGCCGCGCACCACGTCGTCGCGCTGGTAGGGCGGCACGGGCGGGTACACGCGGCGGCTGTCGTAGTGCGGGGGGTACAGCGGCGGCGCCAGTGGCGGGTACTGCTGCGGGTACTGCGGGCTCACCACGCGCTCCGGCAGGTACGGCGCGTACGGCTCCAGGTACGGAGCGCCCGCCTCGGGCGCAGAGGGAGGCGGCCGCACGAAGCGGGACATGGACTGCGTGGGGTAGTACACGCCTGGGGGGAGACACACGCGGGACACAGGCGTTAGCACCGACAAACGCACTCCGGGCGGCACCAATCACCAACAGAACGGTTAAAAACAGACCAAAAATGGTCTAACTGGTATTTCTAGTCAAGAATTAACCACAGGAACCCCTGAAGCAGCAAAAGTCAATCCAATTATCCCAAGAAGATAACAGCAAAGCATCAATGCTACAGCAGCTGGAGAAGGGGTTTGAGACTGAGCACACCACAGGTGCCAGTGGTCCTGCCAGCACACCACACAGAAATAATTCACCAGACTGCTGTGAATGCTTTCAGCTAAATAAAAGCTAAAAAGCAAACTGAAGATTAGCCCATCTTTATCCGTGCAACTAAAACTCAGTTTGTCCCAATATATCAGAGCCACTACTTTGCAAAGGAACTCAGATTATTAGAATTTAAAGTTATCTAAAGATTGCTTCTACCTCTTGATCAGTAGAAAGAAATTTCAGAACTGTGAATCACCAAAGACTTCTAAGATCACACTTCCTGAACACTTTATTATTCTATCTGGGATCTCTGGATAATTTAAAAATAAGCAGAAATACGTGCATAACATTGAATTTTGTAGACAACTCAGGTGTTCAGTGGCACATAATGACCAAGTGTTGTTTTGTTTTTCTTCAAAATGCTCTGCAACTTTCTCAAAAATGGGTTTGCCCTCCTCTTTCCTTTCTAGGGCTTTTTCTTCTTAAAACTTCTTTTAGTCTTCCATTCCTTACCTTCCTTTAATATTAACTTCACTTTATCTCATTTCTCTTTGCATTCCTACATCGCCTAAGAATCATTCCCTGGTTTTATATATAGCCATGCCTTTTATTTTTAATCCCTTTCAATATTACCTTTCTCCACTTTTTATACTTAGAGTTTTTCCTCTTAGTTCCTTTTTTAAGCTGCTTTCTTTTTCGTGAACAGCCTTGTCTAATTTCATTTGTCTCTACCCATCACATGCACTTTATTTCTGTTTTCCAGAGTCAGACTGAACTAAGGTTTACCATAAACTGGCTCCCTGATCTAGCCCAGTTGGGAAGAGCTGAATACAGAAGGATTTGCTACACCAAATGGATACAAATATCAGTTTTAATTTGCACTGATGTCCTCAGTCGAGACATAAAATCCTGCCAATTTCCCTTTTATAAAGCCATCACCACATTAGTGCCTTTACTCCACGTCACAGGCAAGAGAACTTCAGTTTAAGAGCTTAAAAACCAGAGTGGGAAGAAAGATTAAAAGCAGCACGAGGCTGAAAGAGCTGGGTGCCAACCTTACCTTGTTGATAGGGCGCTGGCTCAAACGGTGGGGCAGCTCCTCTGGGGTCCTGATAAAACATATCTGCTTGTTGAGCACTGTACAGCGGAGACCCTCGTGGTACCATCTGCAACTGCTTGGTGACAGACACCGAGGGCAGATCTGCTGGGGCCCGAGGGGGCACAGGATGAGGGTTCACTGGTAAGGCAGAAATAGAGCTCTTGGGGACAGATTCCAGCCTAAAAAGCAGAAAGATGGCACTGCTTATTAAGGCCTGGTACAGCACACTGCACTCTAACACACTGTTCTGTGTCTGCATCCCACCTTCTGAAGGCTTATATCACCTTCTCCAGTTAAAACAGAAGTAAACAGTTGAAAGTTTTAGCTATAGTTTTCTACTCTACCCTTTAACCACTAAAAAAAAAAAACCCCAACCACAAAACCAACCGCAACCCCCATTTCACTTCTTTTCCAGAGAACAGGTTTCTACTCCACACGTACACCCAACACTGGGAACAAGAGGTACAAGAGCCGTACAAGTCAGGAGGGGATCCGGGGGCGCTGCTACTCAGATGGTCCATCTTGCCCGGCTTCAGAGCGGCGTCATAGCCCGAGTCAGTCCCTCGAGAGATGAGCTGTGTCACCGCGCTGCCTGTTGACACAATTCCATTGGGCAGGGCAGAGGTTTTCCTACTGGGCAAGTCCACTCCCCCTTCCTCTGAGAGGATAGCTCCTGAAGGCAGCCCCACCTCGTTCAGCTGGCCCAGGGAGGCACTCAGGGGTCTTCTGGGAACCAGACGCTTGTTCATTTTACGGAATCTTCGGGAAGAGAAACCGCCCGTCAGAAATTGAAACAGAGAAAGGAAAAGGAGCTGCACTTGCAGGAGTTTTCAAACACAGGTTCTACTGAAAGCTTCAAGTTTTAATTCAAGTTTCCAAGGGCCTTGGGAGGATATCTGTTAGAACACAACTTGCCTGATCGTTGAACTCTTTAATAGCAGTCTCAATCAGAACAAGGATGGATTTTGAATGACAAGTGCATCAAGAATTCACAGTTAAACTTCACAGCAAGTTTAAAATCTTACTTTCTGTCAACATATGCATTTCAACTGGACAGAAGAAAACCAAACATCACATAAAATACAGTAACAGGAGCTTCAGAGTAAGAATCACAGAATGTTCAAATCTCTTTTATTCAGAGAAGAAACTAACAGCACAAAATTAAGGTGACAAAAGAGGAAGATAGCCTTTTCCACCATGTGTCCAATAATAAGCCACATGTTTATTGCCACACGCTATCTTTTAAAGCAGAGTTTAAGATTTATGTTACTGTATCAACATACAGCTCACACCATTTGTGTGTATCACTTGATCAAGGGATTGAAGAGAGAAAACCACTGCAATTCCACAAATCTAACTGCTTCTGAGTAAAGCCTGAAAAACACAGGCATTTTAACTAATGTTCTAAGGAAACCAGCAGGCTGACAGTACTAGAGAGTAAATCCCAGAGCTGAAGGTCCTCCACCAAACCCCTACCATCAGCTCAGATCCCAGAACCAAGTGCGAGGGTGGATCTGCAGACCTGGGTGTTCTCACCAAACAAGAGCCCATTTCCAGGGCTGGAGCCAACTCTGTATTCTCATATCTAACAGTCAGAGTGACGATGGGAACCCAGGCTAGGAAGGTACACACATTACTGTAGAAATTATTACTCAATCTTTAGATAATCTTTGTATTTGCCCACATGCACAGCATGAAGAGCAATGCAACAGAGGCAAAAAGGGGGTTTATTGCTGGGCTTGTTTGGGTTTTTTTTGATGTGACTGAATATAGAGAGCCAGACAAACTGTAATCTTGCTATCCAGATTTGGGCTGTTCACCTGGAAGAGTTCAGTGAATATCTTCCAGCCACCTCCCTACCTCTCCCAGTTTCCTGGCTGGATTAATCCTTACCCACATACTCAAACTGTGAATTTGAGCTGCAGTGTGTTGACAGTGGGCATCACTCAGAAGGATTAGAGGGAGTACAGAGAGCAGGCTGTCACCTGAGCAGGGACAGACTACAGCTTTCTAAACAATTAATCTACAAGTTCAGTACCTGCCTATGCACACTGGGTCTTTGTCCCTCGTGCCAAGAGGGTAATAAGCTGCTGTTTAAGCAAGTCTAAATCATAATTTGCTATCTAATTACCACACACTTCCCCATAACCCTCCTCCTAACTTAAAGCTATACATGGAAATACAGGAACCACACAGCAACAGCAAGGCTTATTATTCACACCAAGCATTTTTGAAAGGAGGAGCACTAACACATGAGCTACTTAAAGGATTTAGGCAAAGATAAAAGCACAAGGAAGAGTTAGAACTCCTACAGAAACTGCTGGAACCTGAAAGAGAGCAAACATTCACTCAGCCCAGGACAGACAACATTAATACCAAGGCACACCAGCCAGTCTGGGGCTCCAAAAGGCCTCTCCCACCTGCCAACTGTTGAGTCCTTGATCCACACAACCAGCTCTGAGGTGAAACACTGACCCTGCACGGGTTAACAGAACCACCCCAGCCAGCACCACCAACCTCCATTTCAGTAACACGGTGACAAAAGGCAGAACACCCCAACTGTTTCTGCAGCACACAAAGTCCTATTCTTTGTCCACTTGCATAACTGCCTTTGTCATTCCAACAGCACAGGCTCTGCTCTTTTTGCCTTCATGTTTTGTTACACAGCCACTGAACTGCCATATTAATGCTTCAAGGTTAGATTAAAAAAATGAAACACTGCATACTAGTTACTTAAAACAGATTAAAACAACCTGCAGACCCACAGCATCTTGCCCTTGCATAACTGGGGGCCCCCTTTAAATCTGTAATGGGTGTAGATCATTTGCTGCAGATTTCATATCACCATTGGCTTTTAGTTCTACATCAACAGATTTAACCAACTGAAGGTTACAGCATGAAACTTTCTGACAGATTGCACAAAGAATAACTGCTGCAGGGAAAAAATCTTGAAAGTTAATTTTTAGCTCTCTGGAAAGCCAGCAACACATTCCCTACATTTGGAAAACTGCCAGCAACCCACCTGAATATGAAGGGAAGATGAGAAGCACCCCCAAACGATGACCACTGTGGATGTAGGTTTAGTCACACTTTAAAAATAATGAAAACAGCCCACCCCCAAAACCCTCAAACAACACTTGTGTGACATCAAACTTTTGGAGCTGCATTACTGCTGAACAAAGCCCAATATCCTGTCTGGAAGCACAAGCAGCTCCATAACCTAAGAGAGACTGTCACAGGTTTTTCACATTATTGCTTCTGGTGCACCAGCCAGGTTGCACCTCCTCTCCTCATTCCTAGACAGGATCAGTAACTCTCACAGGTAAGCTGGAGCCCAGATTGGACTGGTTTCTGCCAGCAGAGGTACACTTACTTTTCCAGCTCCTCCTGGGAGTGTGCAAAGGTGCAGCTGGCCCCCCGGGGACATCCTCCTCTCTGCTTCATGTCCCGGCACATGTACGTCTTGTACTTGCTGTGCTGAGGGGGCTGCCAAGGGCAAAGAGACCAGGTGAGACACCTCAGCTTCCCAGGGCACTCAACCAAGAGCTGAGGGAACCCTCTTGGCCAAGGCCTGGTGATGATTCCTTCCATTCAAATGTTTCAGCAGCATCTGATGTCAAATAAATGTCTGGAGCAGATAGATACTTGTGTATCCAACAGATTCAAGAGCAGATGCTTTGATAACTAACTCACTATCAGGTTTCTACAACATTTTAATTCAAATTCTTTACTGGAATCTCTGACTGGAACACAGCTGTACCTTTCAGGACACAGTTAAGTGGACAAACGATGAAGAAATTACCATGATAATCAGCAATTGCCAAATATTTACCGAGTTCTGTGGTAGAGTGAAAATAAAGACAATTTAGTTGCTTTCTCCTTGGTTTCTGTTGGCTCAAAATGGCACTTGAGTATCCTTTGATCTCCATGAGAGTTAAATTTCACCAACTTTCCTTTTACCCCCTTTTGCAGTAAAAATATCTTCACTATCTATAATTGTTTCCCTCAATAGTTGAGGGTGCAATCTTACTCCTACACAGAGCAGCAGGGGATGGGTTGTCTTCTGTTATTTTTCTTAGTGAAGTTCCCCAAGAAACAACAACTTACTGCAGTCTTGCTGTCTGCACAGTCACCCATCTGCCAGTCCCTCTAAATAAAGGCTGACACGAGGCCAGAGGGGGTCTCAAAGTCCTCCACTGGGAAGGCTCCAGGTTCCCTTGCAGGTGGCACAGCCTGTACCAGGTCTAGGCCAGGAGCTCACCAGAACAAAAGCCCTCAGTGTTTTTCCCACCCTGATTCCCACTTGTGCATTCCCACTGCTTTTCCTTCTGCTGCTGGCAGTGCTCATTGGCCATCCCAGTGATCCCAGTGGAAAGGTGAAAGAGCAGAAATAATTCACTTTCATTTTGCCTTTTGGTTCTGGCAGAGTCATCTTTCTCGTGGTTGAACTGCCTGAAGCAGCTCTCCAGGAGGAGGAGTGGGACTGGGACAGGCAGCTCTGTCTCTCAGCAGCACCATTTACATCAACCGAGCTACCCAACAAAATGAGAACAAAGGCATGTGTGATTGGGTAACTGTTAGATAAGCTCAAGCATAATATTTGCCAACATAATTTTGTTTCTGAAACAAAAACATTTGGTTCAGGAACTTGGACTGCACCTTTACATGGAGTATTCTTAAATCTTCAAACTTGTGAGAGCATTAAGCACAGGTGTAAGAATAACTTCATTAACACAGAGCCAGCTGGCTGAAATATGGCCCAGTAAAACAAACCCAAGACAATCCTACAGATCGCAGTTGCACCTGGCATCCCTTCCCCATCCTCTAGTCAGGAGGGTTGTTATTCATTTCCCTCAGCCTGCAGTTGGATGTTTTCTTTTCATCCCAGTGAGCTGTGCAAACTATTTCAACAGGTTTTGGGGAGGGGTTTGAGGTTTCTTCCTTGTTTCTTTTTTGATAAGTATGACCCAGCAGTGATATTTTCAATTAGCCCCTCATCAAGCCAATCTCTCCAGATGACATTAGTAAACACTGGGTACAATCAAATCCAGGGGTCAGCATTTCCTACATGATTTAACTTTTACCTGTTGTTGATCTGTTCCTTTTTTGCTGTGATTTTGAATATAATCAACCAAGCCATGAACCACAGTCCTCACAGCAACCAGTCCATTTTCCAGTTGTTCCCATGTCGGAGGTGGAGCATCTGGAGAATAGAAAAAGAAAAGTCAGAGGGAACTTCCAAAGCCAGGTAAGAAAACCCACAAACAACAAACCATCAGGATCACATAACTTCACTAGACAAGCAAAAATGTTTTATCAGTAGATTAAAAGTATTCAGGAACTTAATTCTGGGTTATTTACCTCTTGTGGAATTCAGGGACCTACAGACTCAAGACTGAACTGCACAAAACACCAAATGAGCCAGTAAGACTTCTTAGCATGCCAAATTATTTCCTTTTATAAGAATAAGAACTTTCATCTCACAAGAGCTCCAGAGGAAATGCACTGTACAAACTCTTCATATAATGAGAAACATGAGGCTGAAAATCCCTCTTTGTGTTCAGACTCCTGCAGGTAAAACCATTCCCTACAAATACCTGACCACTGGCCTGATCCCACAGGCACAGTCACGGAGCAGCAACAGGAATTGATGCCTCTCACTTGGAAAAAGCATCACGAGGCAGATCTGTGTCAGACCCCCATCTAACACACAGCACTGTGAATAAACTGCAGTCTCAATTCTACAGGAGCACTTGGGGGTTTCTGTCAGCCAATTTACTTCTCTAATTTTTTGAACCTGTGCCAGCAGCTGACACTCCCACCCTGTGCCTGCACACTCTGCTGCAGAGCACAGGACCTCAAAGTGCCTTTCCAGACTTTAGCACGATTAATGACATTAAATTCCACTCACAAGGCCTCAGTTCTTCCAGAGGTACTTCCACCGTGCCCACAGAACAGCAGGGAAGCAACTCAACAGCACAGCAAAGAGCCACCAAGACCAGACTTGCCTACTGAAACCAGGTGAGGCTCTCAGTGGTGCTGCTTCCCTCAGCAGGTTTTGGTTAACAAATCTGCAGTGCACACACAGTTTAGTCCCTCACTTGTTTCAGGATGAAAGATTTGGGAAGAGAGCACTACATCTCCTTCAGCTGTGAAGTACAACTGGTCCTCCTTTGAAAGGGAAGTTTATTTAAACACACAGAAACTCAGAACTATGACTTCTCATCTGCTGAAGGAATAGTTTAGGCCTTCATACCATTTTGTTGCATAGTACTGATGTTACACATTTTAAAAGGTATAAAATAAAACTTCAGCCACAGCACTCTGTTCTGTCCCTTCTCTTCTCTCCTCTCTCAACTGGTCCACCCTCACAGCACTGCTGATTTTTAATCAATAATATTCACCTTTCTCTCCTCTGTCAACAGCTTATATTCTTTTCAGCTATCTTCCCCTTTTCCCAGACTGCCTTTCCCACCTTTGCAGAATTATATATCAACAAGAAAAACACTAAATTCCTGAAGGTAACAAATCTTTCTTGTCTAGACTGATTTTTGCCCAGCTTCTGTCTACTCCATCTATCAAAATTCTACAGTGGAATCCAAAATTCTTTCCACAGAAGATGCCTTAGGATTTTAAGCTGCCTCCAAGAGAATCCTGAGTGCAATGTCTGCAGGCTGGAGATCTCAGATCAAAAACTAATACAAAGAACTTCTTTACAAAGGGTAAAGAAAAAGACACACAATTTTTAATAGGTTAATGGAAGTCCTTAATCTGGTGAGTTGAAGACTTCCCCAAGTTGGTTAACAAGTTATTTGCTGCAGTAGAGAACTGGAGATAAAAAGGCACCTCAGTGACAGCTCAGGCTCTGCTTTAAACACAGTGGCTCTCTCAATCTTCCTGCTGGATTGCAATGTGATTTAAACAGGGAAAAAAAGGGAAAAGAGGGAAGCTCAGAGTGCTGCCACTCCCCACATTAGCACTGCCCAGCACACCCCGTGTCACCTGACAGGATTATGTGCTGAACACCCTCCTGAGAGCTCACCCAGTGCCTTCAAACAAGGGAGCCCTCCTCGCAGAGGAGGTGAAATGGTTCCTGCCATACTCTGAAAGCTATTTCAGCTTTGGAATAGTTCAGTTCCTCACACAGACCACTGCTGTTCCAGGCTGCCTTTGAATACCACCCAAGAACCTTAAGTTGATGAGTCACAGGATGCTTCCTTATACTTGATGATCAGCTTTCAATCCTTCCACAGTGTTAAGCTTCTCCTGGCTAAACTCTGAGTTCCAGCTTTTCCAGCCTTACCTGGACTGGGGTCAATGTTTGCCAGGAGCTCCAGGTGAGGTCGCAGCCGGTTCAGGTTCGCTGGATCTCCAGTCCTCTGCAGAGCAATAGTTAATTCCTGAACACTCTGTGCAAACGAGGCCGGGGTCTGCAACTTAAAGAAATTATCATCATTAACTTTCTACAGGCAAAGCAATCCTCATGCTTTCTGAAGGCTGCTCCACAAGCTCCCAAATCTGGAGGAAAACCCTTTTACACACCAGCCATTTCAGTGAGCCCTTTCTATCAAGAACGCACAGTTCTCTGACACTGCAGGTTAAAACACAGCTCTAAACACACAAAACAAACACTAGTATTATTTCTAGCAGTAAAACCTGTTTCTTCGGTGCTGTGCTGGCACCCAGATAAAATATATTAGAAACCATTCAATTTAGATTTCTGAAAAGTCTATTATCTTCATCCCCCCCCAGCAGGTTTGCACCTTCCTTTAAATTGAGTACAGCAGACAATAAAGAGCAAGATGGCTCAAGGAGAAAATAGCAACGTTCCATTTACCCACATCACACAACTCCATTATCAAAAACCATTGAATTCTACCTAGGTTCTTCAGCAGATGTCTGGCAGAACACTTGAAAAAGTGGGCAAAGGCATAAATACACAGCAGACAGATCTTGAAGTTGGTTCTCCTGCACAGCAGCCAGTGCAGTTGTTTCACAGCTTTCCTAACCATTCAACAAGATTCAGTTTTTCCCACCCAATTTAGGCACTTACAGTGCAAGTCCCCCTAATTTAAAAGCCCACGTTGCTTCTAAACACAAGGAGATCTGGGCACTTCCAGAGGTCAAATGTTCTATTTAAAAATGTGCTTCTCCCTCTGTGTCTCACTTCAGCTATAGAGCAGGGGACTGATTTGTTTGCCAATTTATGCACGAATTTCCTGCCCGGAAACACAGACCATTAACCCCTGTCACTACACTGCCAGTTGTCAGCTGTTCACAAAGCTCACATCCCAGTTGTGTAGCTGAACTTTGTGCTTTCCCATCTGCAGAAAGAAGTAAAGTAGCAAGAAACAGCAGGATGGCAGAGGGAGGAAGACTCATCAGGCTATAAATACATATTCTAATTACTTAGGGCATAACGGGCTTTGGAATAACAGGGCAAATGATTACAGGGCGAGTACAGATGGGCACAGATTGTAAACACAAGCCCTGAAATCCACCAGGAACAAGGAGCTGCTCTGAGGTGGCTGTACCTTGTCGATGATGCTCTGCATGTGGGATTTGTGGGACTGGTCCCCGTAGAGGAGCGAGGACCACTGGTCGGGGGCGATGCGCAGCCCCGCCTCCATGGCTATCTGCACGATCTGCGAGTCGTGCTCCCGCCGCAGGGCCTCATATGTCCGGAACTCCTCCTTCAGCTGCATCAGGGAGGAATCCTCGTCTCGCTTTGTCACCTAGCGGGGACAAACGGGACAAAGGCAATGAAGCAGGATGAGCCAGAGATTATGTGAGGCCCAGGACAAGTGACCTCTTCAGTCAGCAGCTAAGGCCTTCCTCCCAAACTAAACTCGAGTATGACAATATGCAGTGAACATCAGCTTCTACTAAAATAATACACTCTATGAAGAGATGAACCACTCTGAAATGGATAGAAAACATCACTTAGTCGGACTCTGACCTGGTGAAAGCGTCACACTTCCTAACAGACTTTACAGCACCCACACCTCACTTCTCTGATCAAGGAGATCTGCATTTCGGAATTTTGTCTGAGGCTACAATTAGGAAAACAAAAGCATTTTGCCCCTCATTTAGCAAAGGTGAATGACATTTAGGTTGAACACCTACTAAAGGATCATTAAATAAAGTACACTAGGCAGCTTAAGTTCTCTTCATACAACTCTAATGTCCAAGAGGCTCCTATTTCCTTGTTTGTGACCACATCACCAGTGAATTAACAAGAACCAGGGGTTTTCCAGCTTTAAGCCACTTCAAGGAGATAAGAATGCTGGCTTACATCCAGGTTTTGGAACTGTGCATCGATCAGACTGCACAAAATCCTAGCTTTGCAGCTCCAAGCTGCACTTCCAGCCTATGCTGCCATCACAGCTGTACAAAGAACTCTCCCAACACACATGAGATTTAATGAGCAATTCTTTCTTTAACTACACGTTTTTTAGGCACATTTAATGTTACAGGACGAGGAAACTCCGAAGCGCAAACCAACAGTTTTCACAGCATTATGAAATCTCCAGGCAGAGCCTTCTTCATACCTTGAAGCAGGAGGCCCTGTAGAGGAGCTGGACAACGTGCCCAATGCTAGTTTTGGAAGCCTGAGGGAATCGGGGCTCCAGCCTCTGCACCACAAAGAGAACCAAGACCTTTCGTGACAGAGCAGATCCATCTTCCAGAGCCAGCAGGACCAGCTTTAAAGCCTCCTCTTGCATCGCTGAGGGTGGGGAGAAACATGAAGAGACAAAGGATGACAGAAGCCCAAGAAAGATTTCTGCACAATCTCTTGGTTCCCTGCAGGTGGGAGACCAGCTACAAACTCCCCCAGCACACACACAAACCCACATTGAATTATTATTATTTCATCTATTTTGGGTACTATCTGATAGGAGGACTTCTTTGTTCCTGTCTGTACACCTCCTCACTATAAAGGTAAGAGCTTTCCAAGTGGATTATCTCTGTGCCACCCCTACCCCAGCAGAAAATGCTGACAGGTTGAGGAAGGACAAGGTTCATTCCCGTGTAGGTAAAAGAGCAATGACTGCCCACACAAATAACTCAGGTGCAGCAGCACCTCTGTTTTGCCTGGTAACAAAGCTCTCTCTTCCCTGGAATGGTACCAACGTGAGCATCTCAAAGTCAGCCCTTCTTAATCTGTTTCAGTGGGGAAAAGTATCACTATTTCTAGTTTAAGAAATTGGCTGCATATTTAAAGACTCAACAAGTGAAGCCTGTATTTTCCATAATGAAACTTCGGGAGGTTTTTTTAAGCAGAATTGTTTTGTTTTGTTTTCTAGTATTCTAAGCAAAGGAATTTAATTTCCAAGTACATAACTTTTTAAAAACGTGTACACATAACTGTAACAAATCTATCCCCCCAACTGGTTTGTATGTTTATTACACACAAGAAGAAGGCAAAGAAGCCAAGTCCAGCCTCTTCCAGTAAACTTATTTTTTCTAGAAAGGTCTTACTTCTTCAAGAAATAGCAAGAGAGAAACTACTTCTCTTTATCTTATGACAAGGACACCCATTATTCTGAATTTCACACAAGACTTGTAAAAGCACTAAAAATGCAAGGAAATGGCAGTGGCAGGGCCGTGTCACTCACCTGGCCCCAGGAACTGGCAGCCCCTGGCCCTCACTGCAGCCCAGAGGTTGGAAGAGAGCTGCTGGGGGTTCTGGTGCTGCAGGATGAGCTCTGTGACCGTTCTCTCGCCCAGCGACCGCGCCGCTCGCATGGCTCTGATCCGCCCCTCCTCCTCCACCAGCTGGCAGTGCACCAGTGTCACAAGTTTCCTCTGCATGGGACGACTCAGCACGCTCTGAGTGGTACTGTTGAGACCCACACCTTCAAAACAAAGCGAAACACAGCAATAAACTACCTCCTATTTCCTCAGCCTTCAGTGGCTGCGCTGTCCAGTGCAAAGCTGATGTCCACTCTGTCAAACAGAGCACTCGCTGCACAAGGAGTATCAGAGGTTTATTTCTGCCAGCTTGTCTCAGTTGGCATTAAAAGCAGTCTCCTGGGAGTCAGCTTCCCCACAGGTTTAAGTCTTGAGATTGACTATCTGGCTCCCTAAGAAGGTGGAACCTCTGATAATCCTCTCCCCATGGTTGTAGTTTGTCCCACACTCAGTTCATCCCTTATTCATGGGCTCCAGGCATCACTGGGACATTGGTTTGTTTTCACAAGACATCTGGTTTCCTGCCTCCATCTGGTACCTCCACTGCTTTGGCCCAGCCAAACTGAGCTTACACACGAGTCCTGAACTGCTTGGGGTGCAAAACCTCTGATTCACAAAGTGCTGGGAGCCACCTAATCCGGGGTAAAGGAACGAGTGACTCGCTCGACAAACGGCTGCCATGCCGAGTTTGTGGCACAGCCAGGGCTTGGTCACTGGGCCACTGCTACCCAGAGTGATGCTGCTGTCACACTGGGCTGGGCAGAAAGGACTGACACAACTTCCTGTAAAAACTCATTCCTGAAAACCTGATGGCCAGGACGCTCAACTGCACTCCTCGGGCTGACAGACTGCCCAAGGCCAGCACACTGGTACTGATAAAATCCACGCTGCTGATGGCAGGCTTAGAGTTACTCAGACTGATACAGCTCCTGTGTAAGATCCTGTATAAACAGAGTATTGTAATTTCTATTATACAGCCTATATGCAGTAACTTTCTCATTTCAGTTTATTCCTCCTCTACAGACAAGCTGAATTACTACAGCTGTCACAAAGCAGAACTGAAAAAAGTCTATTTTTACTTAGTCTGCAGAGGCCAAAGCAATTTACAGAGTTTGTCTCAGCTCACTATATCATGGCCAAATAGCTCAGCCTTTTCTCAGAATTACTTTTGACACCTTCCACAATTCCACACCCCCACCCCCACCATGAAAACATAACCTTAATGTTTAGGAAACCTGCTTCAGTTTGTTTCTAAACTAGGTTTATATTCATTTTTCAAACAGACTAACTAATCAATTGGATAGTTTCTTTTGCATCTTATTTGTTTCCCGCTCTCACTGTCCAAGGAAGCAATGCAGGAACTACCTCTGGCACTGCTGAGTGGTTTGAGGTACAATGCCAGTTCCTCCACACATTTCTTGCCCTCCTCATAATGCTTGGTGTCTTCAGCTCCACTGCATAGAGTAATCGGCTGCTGCTCAGGAACCTGGAGAGAGATGACATGGACATCTACATGAATATGCATAAACAAGTGACAGTCATGTTTACAAACACTTGTTACTATGAAGCAGTTCCTGTTTCATTCCCCTTCTGTGTTTTTCCTGTATTAATAATCAATTTTTCAGCTTGTTTACTGAACAAACAGCATAAAAAGCCCCAGTGAAAATGAAAACAAAAAGACAGAATTTCTGTTTAGTAGACTTCCTTTATTTAGTGGCTGACAGGAACTAGAAGCAGAAGGCTTAACATGGCACTTCCTATAACTACAAAACTTTGGCTAAAATAACACAAAGTGAAACACCCCCAAGGCTGGCTGGCCAAAAAAACTCTGAGGGGAAAAAAAAATAAAAAAAATCAGAAGAACCCTGGTCTGCTGGTAAGTACTGATTTGTATCTAGGGCCTCACAGCTCTAAAATCATCCAGGGATAAATTACAGCTACTTAGATTAGCAGGAGAAAGAGATTTAGCAACAAATACACTATGACACCCTTGGAACATATTCTGACTACACCAAATTAACAAGAAGCAAGACCAAGTTATCCTATGTAGTGCATGTGAAACACCCCTGACATCTGTGTTTGGGGTTTTTTTTCATGTTAAATGTCTTCATCCAGACATTCACCAGAAATCAGGACTTTTCAAAGGGATTTGGACCACCCCTTGCCCAAGTTATGATTTTGTTATTGCCTTCCTCCAGGTAAATTCTTAAAAGTTTCAAGAAAATTCAGCCTGCAGTATAGCACTGCACTAACATTCTCAACATCACTGTTCAGCAGTCAGCCCAACATGACAGCCCAGAGAACTGGAATTTCTCACAAGACTAAACACAAGCACGTTTTGCAGACGCTGGGGAAGCACAAACAGATCTCCCACTTCTATTTCCGAGTCAATCCCTGTCCCAGTGGCAATAACAGCCTGCTAATCCCACATAGCTGCTTACAAGGACCAACTCAGGCCCTCAATCTAAAAGCACAAGCCTTTAATGCCTCAGTTAAATACAGCCACAAACCCACCCACCTTCACGTGCAACCCAGCCCTGGGAAGGGCAGTGTTATAGCAGCACTGAATAAAAGCAGGGAATATGTACAAAATGTGTGTGTGTGTATATATATATATACACACAGACATACAGATACAGTTGCCATCACCAACAGGGACAGGAGCTTTCCTATCTATTTTAATAGACAGTAATGTTTCAACCACACAATCAGACTTCTCCTACGCAACCTCTGCTGTTACTCATCAGACACACAAAGCAAAATAAAAAGTTACTATCTACCTAACTCTGGCTTTTACAGCATGCAACAAAAGTAGTCTGAGAGTGCAAAATATCAGCTGCAATTAAGACAGTTGGTACCACCCCAACTAACATAATCAAGATAGCCTGGATGAGGCACAGCCTCTTTCACTCCCATTCAAGGGAAAACCAAAGCTGAGACAACAATTGGCCTTTTCACTGACTGCAGTTACCTTGTCATGTTCTGGGCTTTCTGGTTTTAATTTTGAGACAGGGTTTGTTTGGGGTGTTTTGGTTTTTGGGGTTTGAGGGGTTTCATATATCTATAAGCAAGAAAGCTTTCAGCAAAAAGAGACTTCACAACTGGATCTTACAGTGGTCAGACCTAACAGTCACAACAGACTGGTCTCCTGGGATGTGGGAAACACACATTAACACCTTCAATATTTACTTGCATGTTGACAGAATACTGCACAGCTCCCTTTCAGAGCCATTTTAGCGTCTGCCCCTGCCTGGGCCATCACCCAGCAGAACCCATGATCAAAGGACACCTCACCACGAGTGCCCAGACAGAGCCCGCCCCGCCTCTGCCTTAGTTATTGCTGGCACAGATTTTGTGCCGATCCCTCCTCATTCCTGCAGCCATTCCACCCACACCGGTGACAGCTCAGAACACAGTGAGACAAAGGGGGCTGGGGACAGACGTGGGACAGGAAGCCTGTTGAGCCCCGGCTTTGGCCCTGAATGGAAGGGGGTTTAGCACACACTGAGAGCGCTGTTTGGAATGCCAGACACAGCTCAGCCACCAGCGAGACACAGGGGCTGTCAAGGCAACTAACACAGAGCTTCCCCCTCCCCCAGGGAAGAGCTGGCAGAGAAAAACCTCCAGGACTTCATCAAGCTGTTCAACACTACCTGCCTTTATTTCTACACACACACGCTTCACCTTCACTCTTGCAAATGCACCTCACAATAAAATTCACTAATAATTTTCCTTTTGCTGGTTCTGTTCTGTGCACTCGCAAGACTTATTTTAATATTTTAGTGTTAGAATGATTGTAAGAACAGCATCTCCCGAGAGAAAAACTGTAAAGACGTGATTCATAAAAGTCACAGGAAATGTGAATTTTAATTTTGGCTCTGCTGTGAAATTGCTGAGGGACAACTGAGAATAATTCAACTCCAAAGCATTTTCACTTCCCCTTAACAAAATGTCCTTTAAATAGCATGCATGGAGAATGACCCCATGGTCACTGCTGTTTACAACCTCTCTCAAGAGCCCTAGAATACATGCCCTGCAGAGTGAGTTCATTATTTTCATGCTCATTCCATATTCCACTCTCTCAGACACCACACCCTTATCACAGTTCTCACTGCAAATGCATTCACATCATGTAAGCGACACCTCCCAGGGGGGACGAGAGCGAGACAGCAAAAATGATCTCAGATGTTTAATTGCTTTAGATTTGTGAGGGTTTTGCATCTGCCTTGGCAATGCCTGCCAGGATCCCGGCAGTGGAATGCTGCCCATCAGCTTGGCCTGTGGCTGTGGGAAGAGGCAGCTTATGACGACATGCGGAAGGGGACCGGAAAAGAATGCTAAAGCATCATCACCTCATGGCAGGCAGTGACTTGGAATAGGTGATTTAACTGCAATTTGATGAAGGATGTCAGCTTGAGTTGTCAGTAATTACCATTAGACATCTAATTGCACAGAATGAGAACATGTTCAACAGACCAAACCCCTTTTTGTCTGGTTTGAAAACTCTCCTGATATTCTCCCTCCTCCCTGCGAATGGAGGATTTGCTTCCTGCGCCCCAAAAAAACCAAAACAAAAAACCAAACAAACCCCAAAAGCCTACTGTCTTCAGTTCCTCAAAGGTTTACATTAAGGACAACTTCTTCACAGATAATTCCTCTTTTGAGGCACTTCATTTCACCAAAAGTTACAATAAAAAATGATCAAACCTGCCTCTAATAGCTCTGCAATTGCAATCTTCCCCTTTTGAAAGGGCTGTGAGTTAAGATCACTCCACCCATTCTCTCATCATGTACAGTGTGATTCCATTGCCCAATGTATCTGTCGTGTCCAACAGGAGACTATGAAAGAAATTAAAGCACCACAGGCATTTCTGCCACTCTGTGTCACCTGTTTGGAACGTGCACGCTGCTGCTTCATGGGTTGAAAAAGCACGAGGGAAGAGTTTAGATGACAGATCCATGATTATGCACCTCCAAAACACTGGCCAGGGGAATGCTTGAAATAGCTGCATGCAGTGAGTAACACTCATGGATGCTGGAATAGCTAAAATTCAAAAGCTCATTCCCACAGAAACAGGCTGAAGGGATTTCTTTCCCCAAGAAGTGTAAGAAGCAAAGTATCCCAGGAGTGCCTTGCTGGTTTGTGTCCAAGCCCTTGTGCCTCCCTTCCCTCACAATATGCTTAGCTCTGCTTAGGGCTCAGCTATTTCCCAGGAATAATAATTCTCATCTTCCCCCTACAATCCCTCCTCCTCCCTCATCTTGCACGGCTGAATTTATCTAAACTGGTGGGGTTGAATCACCCAACTGGAGGGGTTGTGGGATCCCCCAGCCCTCTGCTGTCCAAGGCCAGCTTGGACAGGGCTTGGAGCAACCTGCTCCAGAGGAAGGTGTCCCTGCCCATGGCAGGGGGTGGAATGAGAGGGGTTTTAATGTCCCTTCCAACCCAAATCATTCCATGGCCACTGCCTCCCCAAGCAGCCCCTGTAAGCACTGCTGACATGTAACTCTCTGTAGGGGAGCAGGCAGAAACCTGGGTCCCTCCAACAGTTAATTTTCACATCAAGGGTGGCTACAACCCGGGCAACTGGTTTCACTTCTGGAAAGGGGTGGGGAGAGGGAAAACTGAGAAAGAGTCAGTAATTCAAGTAAGAAAGCAACTCTTCTCACCAGAAAAGTGGCAAAACCGACCCAGAGAGAGAATGCTATTGTCAGAGAAATAGGTTACTGCTTCCCTGGGAGACTGTGTGACAAATTTAGCACGTTTTCCCCCGAAGTATAGCCCTGCTTATTTCACCCATTGTGCCCAAGTGACTTGCCCTGGAATCCCAGAACTGCTGCCAGTCACAGCAGAATAGATTTGTTTCTTTAAACAGCCCGGTCTCCTCCTCTGCCTCCAGCAAAAAAGCACTTAACACATATAAAAGTGTGAACTTCTCACAAGTCTCCCCAAAGGGAAAAGAACAAACTGTTCTTCCCCCTCACAGATAAAAGCTTTAATTGTGCTGTACTGAATTTCCTTCTAAAATGAAACCTGGGTTTTTTGGAATTTATAGTTCAAAACCAAGGTATTACATGTCTCCATGGACTCAGGTTAAGGTGTACAGCTGTTTGTCGGAGATTAAGGGACACTAATGACACAAAGACACTCTTGAAACTAAACCGTGAAGTGGAACAAGAAAATGGGCTTGGTTTCAACTGAGGTCGATACCACTCATGCTCTGAAAGCTGGATTGCTGCTCACAGACCATTTTTGTTGCTATGTACCAAAGAGAACTCACGTTCTCAAACAGGACATAGTTCAAAATTACTAGTTCCACTAAAGTACCTTTTTTTTTTTTTTTTTGTCGTTAACCAAGCCCTTTTCTCTAAGAAGATTTAAAAACTGGCCTTAGAGAGCCTAGTGGGAAGTAGCAATTGTTTCCCTGTCCTCCACAGTGAAACAGTGTACTTATTTTCTAGTACTCCATAGTCTGCTAAACACCCCAAGAGCTGCCAAGAAGGGGCAGGGAAGAGAAAGGAGGGTGAGTTGTACTGAACACTGATTTCATTCACATGTTGGAATTAGGAGCTGGCTGGGAAGGTGGTGCAAACTTCTCTTCAGGGGCAAGTTTGTCAGTAATAAACACCCAGCTAAGATCCAGAATTGCTGGGAGCAGCAAACATGAAGCAGTGAGTGGTAAATGAGGGGCGTGGGAATATTGTCTCTTTTGGTGGCGTTGCAGCTTGCAGGTCATCAGGGAACAAGGTCCTGTGAGTCCTGATCACATGAAATTCTGAGATGTAAAAAGGAGCACGAAATGCTGTCATCAGTTCAAAGCCAGAACCCAGAGTCTCAAGACAAACCATACTGTAAAGCCTCTCTTCCTTCTCCATTCCTCACACACACGGGTGGGAAAACTCTGGCTGGCCGTAACTGGCAAAACCAGAATAAAATTCTCAGTTACCCATACAGAGGTAGAGTGGTTTTCCATTCCATTCCAGAGGATCTTGTTTTTATGCAAATTGTAATTCAGGCAAAGATCAAGTTTATCACACAGCTTTGTGAGAAGCATTAACAAATGCACACAAACCAACCGAAAAAATGCAAGACATTTATTTATCACAAGTGGGGACATTTGGGTATAGCTGGAACTATTCCAGAAAGGCCAAAGAGGAAGGAAGGGGATATAAGGGAGAGAGAGAATGACAATATTTATTTATGGCATCACCCACAGATCTCACAGTGCTTGGAAGCTCTTCAAAGATGGTGGCATATCACAGCAATGGGAGTGCACAGCCTCACTGCCTTCTCCTGCAGAGCAGGATGAGTCACCCACCACAGCCAGAAACACCAGTGCATTTTAAGCTTCTAAAATAACTTCTGTGCCACACACCACAGAAAAACAACACCAAATTAGCCACATTACTTGATGAACTAAGAAGAGGCAAAAACATGGTTGGATCTGTAGGTCCCAATACCTAATAAAAAGCAACATAAGAGCATCTTTCTCTCCTCCACAAAATTCTTTCCTTTTCCCTGGACTATGGATCTCACTGAATTTCCTGCTGCTTTCAACTCTGCTGAGCCCACACATGGAAGCAGAACAACCCAAAACAATAACCCCTGCATGGTAACCGTCCCCATTTACATTTTCACTCCTCATCCCTACCTTAGACACGATTGTCCCTCCTCTCCCAGGTCCCCAATCCTGCCCAGCCTTGGCAGGTGTGTGTGGGTCACAGGAAGCTACCAGTGATCTAACCACGATAAGCTTATGCCAATTGAGGTCCGTGCTGCAATTCAACAGGGTGATCCTGCTTTCCACACACCCCTGCCCCTCTCCTGGGCCAGTCATCAGCACCAGGACACTCGTCCCCATCAGATCACCCCTTCAGCTGACCTCACCAGTGTTCCAGCAAGAAGGGGAGTCTTGGGCAGGCTGCCCCCATCCACCTACGTGGATTTAGAGCACCGTGTCAGCTCAGGAAGCTGCATTTCTGGTGCACAGTTTCAAATTAAACATAAGGCTGTATAAAAGCTGCTCCCAGAGGGGTCTGCCACACTTCCCTTAACACTTCCATCCTGCTTTTGGGACAATTGGACACGGGTCTTGTAGGGTGAGTACAGTAAGGCACATAACCTACAAGAGAAGAATGGCTTCCCACAAAATAAGCTCACCGATCCAGCTCATCCTTTCTGCAGAGCACGGCTAGATAAGGGAAGAAGGAAGGGAACAGAACAAACCCATTCTGCCACAGCCCACGGTCACACTGAATTGGATGTAACAAAACTCACAGTCAGCAACCAGCAGAATCAAGACCTAAACTACTGTTCCAGGCACCTCTGCAACTTTTGCAGACATTTCCAAAAGAGGCAGATGAGCACTTCACACCCCATTACCGTTAATCGAACAACACAAACCCGGGGTTCGAAGCAAAGCAGAGCGCTGTTACCTGAGCACCCACGAGCTGCAGCAGGGCCGAGTTGACGGGGAGGAGCTCGATGTCTGTGTTGATAGTGGTCTGGTCGAAGGGACATGCCTTACGGTGGAGCTTGTTGAGGCACATCTTGCAGACGGTGTGGCCACAACCCAAGCTGATGGGCTTGCGGATGGTTTCGTCGAAAGTCTGTGTGCAAATGGGGCAGGAGAGAAAATCCGTCCATTGTGGAGCTTGTACAGGCATCGCTTCAGGAGTTAATTGACGAGACAAAAATCTAAAGCGCAGATTCCACTGGAATCAAAATCTTGGGAAAAAAAAGTCTGTTTGTTTTTAAATATCTTCTGTAAGTACAGACAGTCAGCACATAGTGTGAAACATAACCTAGAAGGAAGCAGAAACACGCAGTGAGCATTCTGTACCGGAGCAGGCACGGGAGACCCTTTGTGCTCAGGAAATAGCACTTGTCAAGGTGCAGCTGAACGGGGACTGCAGTCCTGACACTAAACACAGGACTGAGTCATGACCTGCTTTGATTCCAGCTACTCTCTGGCACTGGAAAAGCCACTTTAAACCATTTCTGCTGTTCTACAGCTTAAAAAAAATAAGCAACAGATAACTCTCTCATTAACGTTATAAGGCTAATTAGCTTTACAGTTTTATGTTCTCTTTTTCTTTCATAAATGAGCCAATTAATATCAACAAGATTTGAATAAAAAGGACTCTTTTTGAAAGGCTGGTGTCCTTATTGCACTAAATCAATTTTTTTCATGGTATTCATTGTGAGCTTTAAATAATTTTGCTTAGACAAAGCTTTTATCACAAGCAAGCTTTCTTCCCAGTCCCGTGGGCTCTGGATTGGCACACAATGACTCTGCAAAGGTGGGAGCTGTCCCAGGCTCCAGAGGGAAGAAACACTTCCAGAATGTCTCAAGGACCCTTTTCTGACCCCAACTGACATCATTCCCCACCTACCTAGAGATTATATTGACAGAGAAAGCAACATCTTTAATGTATTGAGAAATCACACAAACTACAATAGAGGAGAACCTGGGAGGTCTTTATCACTTGGCACTTTCAAATCAAAGTACTAAGAGGATCAAGTGTCACTAATTATGAGGCAATGGAAGAAAAGACATCCCTTTGGGACAGAAAAAAAAAAAAGGCAGAACTCATGTGAGGAGAAATATAAAAGAACAAATGGATGAAGGGGTATGAAAACAATCATTATCAAAAAGATAACTGGTAATAAAATTATTTCTGATGTCTGGTCTACTTTCTATCAACAGTGGAGTCGGGGAAAAAAAAAAGAGAAGGCAGGACAATGATTTACAACCAATTTTTCTAAATCTAGCATCTAAACAACAACAAAACCCCTCACCCCAAACACCCAGATGTGGCAGTTTCTCTTTCCCACACTCCAGTTTCAAACCCCTGAGTGTGCACTTGCTTGCTAATATCTGTTCTGATAGAAAGTTCTCACGGAAGCAAAAGAGCAACCTTTCATCAAATCTTAGCTTAAAAAACCACCTCACAATTTCAATTAAAATCTCAATTCTAAAGGCAAAGAGAGAAACTTCAAATTAGGACTCGTGCAATTGAGAATCAAAGCGTTCTAAAACAGCACCAAAAAAACCCATCTAATGCTAAAACAGAGACTGAAAAGCCTCAGGCATTTTTTCAAGAATTTAGTGCAATGTTGTTCACCATTAACATCATTTTGCCAAGGCAAACAACGAAGAGTTACTGGTTAAGCTTTTAGCCACGTTTCATCAAACATTAAAGCTTAGTTTTAAAGCTAATGAAAGGGAGTTGGACTCAGATGATCCATGTGTGTCCCTTCCAGCTCAGGATACTTCCTGATTCTATGGGAAAAAAAAAAAATCACTTCTCTCTTCAAAAGACAGTGTACAACCCCAGATGCCCAGCCAAAAAGGGATCAATAAGAGATCAATATTCTCCAGGCAGAGTGGCCCAAGGAGAGGCACTGCATGTGGTTAACCCCCCACCACCATTGCACAACCAGAGATGTCAAGGTTGTTCAGGGTTCCCCCTCCAAATCACCTCTTTAATAGCAAAGCACTCATTTTTTTCATCTTGTCAGCAGGCAGGCAGATCATTTCCATTACTTGTATCCCCAACCCAAGTGAAATCTTTCATACACTTATTTCACTGAACTAACTCACTAAAACATCCAGGAAATTTATTTCCAAGCTTTCTCTTGCTTCCTTATATTTTAAGTAAACTGTGGTATCAAGTATTCCAGCCAGAATCACTCTTTGTAAACCAAATCTGCAAGAGAAATTACCTGGAAACTCCACAGAAGTCCTTCTGCAGAGAGCAGAACACAGCTTGATAAACCTGGTGTTATGAAATAGCACCTGAGGTTCAAAACCTGGGAGCTGAATCATATTGCTTCCTTTAGGCCACACTGCTATTAGAATATCTACCAGCAATTTCCCAGGCTCATCTGCAATTCAGAAATGAACTGAACAGCCTATGTGAAACACAGATTATTGTCCAAGCATTTAGAACAGTTTCTTGCTAACTGAGGAGATTTAAAAGCAGCAGCTAACATGAAGCTGTACCATCAGGAATACAAGGCAGACGTGGACAGGGAGACTCCAACATCCCAGGCTCTGAACTGGAACAAAGGAGTTCAACACAACCTTAATATGAGTTCACTAATTTAAAAACCCCAGTAAACAGAGACCTGCCGTTCCTACCTGCAGCTCTGGCATAATGAAATAGGTCATATTTATTTACAAAATCAAGTTGAAAGAGAAGTCTGGGGAGTCGAGGGAGGGAGGGAGTAATTAGTGGCATCCCTGATCCCACCTCAAGGCAGGTCCCAAAAGGCTGGGGGGAACAAGGGAAGCAAAGCTTACACATAATCAGAGCTCTCAGAGACTCCACAGTGCCTGTGGATGTGTCCTGGTGCCTCCCTGGCAAAGGAAGGTCACAGACAGCACTGACAACAGAGCACAGGGCTAGGAGAAGCCTCGGGAAGTCACTACTCCAGCACAGCCTGGCTGCTGGAACAGATGGCTAACCGGCAGGATACAGCCAACCTCTTCCCCACAGGAGAAAAGTAGAGCTGTTGGAGCAACAAACCCTGCACTGCTAATAAATCTCCCCGGCAGATCAGCACAGAACTGTGGAATTCCTCTGCTCCCACGGAAGGCAGGAATGGCATCACAGGGACGGAGGATTCTCCAGCCGCAGGCAACACAGGCTGGCACCAAGCCAAGCCCTGCTGCTGCTGCCGCCGCCACAGCTTTCCACATATATGGTCCTGCTTTCCTGCTGGATCCTCAGCCTTCACACAGGGAAGCAGAGCCAAGTGCTGAGATACAACAAAATTCTCCTAGGCACAGAGCACCCAGATGGGGTAGACACGTTCAGAAGAGAGGCTGGCAGAGGTGTGTGCCTTGTCACAAGGCTTGGGACTTGCTACGACCTTGGAAATAAGTGGGGGAAAAAAACAGTCTGTAACTTCAAAGAGCTCCTTTAAACAGGAGACATTAGAGATGGCAATCAAACCGTGGAAAGAAGACAGTTTCATTACCACAGTCAGCTGTTAGAGCCATCAACCACAGAAGGAGAACACTTCCCTGTACAGATAAGGTAGGAAAAGCAGATTCACTTTCATGGTACAGTTTGTTTGTTTTTAAAAACGTTTCTCTCCAGCATTATGCCAGAGGTCAGAAAAATGCAAAGAATGCAAACATTTATAAAAGAAATAACCATTTAAATAAGGCTCCACTTCCCAAAATATTATGAAATTTTTAACCCACCTCAACTCACTATTTCACACCTGATACCTTCTAATGCTTCAAACATGTAACTACACACACTTCTTTGTGGGTGACTGGAGAAAATAAAGATATGTCAAACCCCAAGAAAACACAAAACTAAAAAGGTCCATCACAGTACATAAACTGGAAAACACAAAGGTGTAATTAAGCATGAAGATACTCCAGGACACAGGCTACTACACCAGACCAGAGACAGACTGATTTTGTTATTTCTGAGTATGAAAATATAAAATACCAGTATGTAAGCCTTGTCCTCCTGCTTAGCCCTGCATAAGCTGTTTTATCCACAGCCAGAATCACCTGGAAAAATTCCTGCTCTTTTCTGGGCCTCCCAGCCCCCCCAAAATCCTTGAAATTCCATCCTTCAACCAAGACTGGAAATGTCACGCTGTAATCAGATCAGTGACCCGTCTCCTCTGGGACCCCGCCAGTGCTTCAGAGAAAAGGCAGGATCATTCCACAAACCACCAGGACAGCTTCCCAACGCTTCATCCCATTCCTTACTCTACAATGCAGAGGGGGAACGCAGCCTCCTGTCCACGCTGTGTTATGTCTGCGGCCACCAGAGCCTTCCACACGTCGCCAGGGAGAGCTTTGCAGATTCAACTCGTGACAAAGAGCTGTTTGTAAAACGCAGAACACTTTGTACCCACATCCACTGGCATCAAGTTTCGCCCAGGATGACACAGAGGAAAACTCCCGTGCTCCCAGTAAAAATCCCCGTCCGTGCGAGGAGTCCCTCGGGGCAGGTGCCAGCCCTGCCCGGGTTTGGGTTCTCTCACCAACACGGCACTGGGCACAGCCCCATCACGTGCTGCCCTGTCAGCGCAGAGCCCTCCCTGCTCTCCCCAGCAGCCCTGGTAAGTCATGCCCAGTCGATGCAGATGACTCAGCACACCTCAGGGGCACCCTCGGCTCAGCTTCTGCCCTTTCAGAGGGAACAGGAGCGTTACCTGCTCCTGGCTTTGACTTATTCCCCACAGCATTTCGTTCAGCTCTTCTTGTCCGAGCAGCGTCACTGCCTTCTTGACCAAAAGTCTGAATAACCATTTTTATTGCCTGCTGTTCTTTTAGTCCTGAAGCCGTTTCATTTTTGCTGAGTCTTACTCAGAGCTAAAGCAAGCAGAGCTTCCTGTTGCAGTTACCACTGAACACAAGTAAAGCCTATTTAGTGCTAAGCTTAACACTACAGCAGCTCCTCGGTGCCAAAACAAACTCAGGCCTGCCAACCGATCTGCTCACGCAAATACAGCTCTTGGCTAATCTATTATTTAATCTAATAAAGAAAACACCGTTTCATTAATTCTTTTGAAGACTCTTACTCCTCGGTTAGAATTTGCACATTGCTGAAAAGTAACCACACGCAGTTCTCTCTCCTGTGAGACTGGTTCTGTGACACATTAACTATTTCAAAACCCCTCTGACACTTTGAGATTAAAAATAGATCAACAGCCTAAATTAAATTAACAGACAACAGCAACACAATTCCTAACTCATAAGGATCACCAGAGACCCACAGCAGCTCCAGGCACCAGATGAACCCCTCCATACTTGCCTAGTGCCAAACAGACAGATTGTTGCCAGTGTTTCAAAGAACCTTTCTGTTTTCTACTCCAGTGTGCTCGTCGTAATCAACAGCATTACTGAGGACAGTTAAGTATCTTTCTTCTTTTCCCCGACTTTAAAAAGTCTTGAATTTAATTTTATGGAAGAACTGACCTGACAACCCATGGGAAACCCTGCCCAGTCAAAAGTAATGGCTTGTTATATAAACACACTGTACTGCCAACTTCACAGTTCACAGAAAGGGATAAATCACACTTGCTGTGTTTTCCATATCCAGTTCCACAGAAGAAAACTCTGAAATAAAACCAAAGAGAGGGGAAGTCCAGGCCTGATCAGAGAAGAGTGGGTAAAAGAAAAAAAAAACCTTCTTACCTGTGCCTGGGAAGCTCCATGAACAACAGCTACGATAAGCCCAGGCGAGTCTTTGTGACCGATCGCGGGTTCCTTTCCCCTCCTGTTTGCTCTCTGAAAGGTCCGTGCACACCCTGAGTGGCAGCGAGTGCTTCGCTTCCTCATTCCTGCCCGGCGCATGCCTGCCCTGCTCCCAGCACCGCCCAGAGCCGAGCTCCAGCACAACATTCCCACCCCGCACCAAAACCTGCAGCTCTGTGTCACACACCTTCCCACCCTTCTCTCGCAGCTACACAAACACCAGTGGGCTGCACTGCCTGGACAAGTAATCTCTTTTTTTTTTTTTCTCTTTTTTAAAGAGACAGAAAAGCAAAGCTAAAATCGTGAACACCATCAAAATTCTCTCCCAAACTCACTGAAGCTCAGTTAAATCAGATTGAAGATCTACTTGCTTTTCTTCTCTGTAATTTTTATTTTGACAGCAAAAAACAAAGGAAGTTTATGTAATTTCATGCAAAAGTCTTCCTTGGTAGTCTGTGACGTATGTTATGAAAATGGGGCCAGTTGAGGACAAGATGTTATTCCTTATTTGAAATTTCCTGCCTTGTAAGAAAGTAAGGAAAACAAACAACGAAACTACCAACATCACAACTCTACCTCAGTACTTCCCCAACAGGGGCTCTAAAAGCAATTTACAATGATTTAAGCTCCACAACATCCTGTGATGAGGCAAGAGCTCATGTCTTACTGCCCAACAGAAAACTGTTGAATAAAGTTATTTATCCAGTGTTTCACTGAAAAAACATGGAATGAAACCTCATACATAATTTTTGAACCCAAATATATAATTTTCTTGACCTCTTATTCTCATCCAACATGCAGTCACTGGTCTTGCACCACTAGGGTCATGAACATTAAAATATATACATAAACTAAAATACACACATACATTGCTCTACACATGTATGTGCAGAGGAAGCTTAAACTTCCTGCTCATTCCCTCCAGAACATAAAACCTGCATGTGGATCAAACAGTAAATTTTCAGGGAAGATAAAGGACTTACTTCATCATTTCTGATTGATATTATACAACCCTTACAGCTTATTTAAAAGAAAGGGGAACAACCAACACCTACTAGTGAATGGTTTTGTTATCTATCACCTAGAAAATTCCTTCTACCAGTCATGAAAGACTGGGCCAAGCCCACAGGTGATTAAATCCAGGGAGTTAATAGCTGACAAGTATCTCTACAACACCTTCCTTTCATTTCAAGTTAAGGGTTCTTGCATTTGTCAATGCAAATGACTATGACATTAACACATTGATTCAACCAGGATTAAGAAAAAAACTGAGGAAGAGCTAAACATGAACAGAAGAAAGGCAGAAGGCATTTCAAACATCCATAGCAGTTTTCAGAACACAGGCCTTGGTTCAACTGGTCAGATCCTCAAAGAGCTCTCAATTCTGTTGTCAAGGAGGCAACCAAACAATTTGCTTTTCCCAGAGCAGGCAGGTTTGAAAGAAGCCATGGCAAAGATAAAGAGGACAAGCTTGTAAAAGTCATCAGATTCAAGGGTACAGACACACATTACCTACTGCTGCCAGCTAGAGGAGTCACTACTCTTCCTCACTCATTCCTTTCTAAGATATTCCAGCTGAACTGGTTGCAGTTGTCCCGGTTGAAGCTCTAAACATAGATCTTTATTAATAAACACAGGTAGGCAGAAATGTGGGTGGACAGCAATTACACAACCAGTGCCTTGTTTTACCTGAAACAAGGCAAGCAATCAGCCACACAAACAGTTCACCTGAAATAAAACTCCAAGCAGCAGATTTCAGGAAGAGGAAGCACTGGGAAGTGGGTAGAGCTCTGGGGACTGCAAACACTTATTTTCCATATGCCCTTTAGTGATCTGAGGCATCACAGCCATAGTAAGATTGGCATCTGCTAGTGAGAAACGGTATTACAGATGGAAATCACCAAGGCCAGCAGCGTTCTTTTCCAAGCACAGATAAACTACAGTTACCTGACAACTCCTACTAAAGGCATCTGGTAGATACAAAGTCAACTAAGGAAGTGGAGAGGGGAAGGTCTTGTAGCCACTGCAATGCCTTTATAATTTTGTAGACATGAATCATTTCAGACCCAGCACAATTCAATGAAAGCATTAAAGAAACAACCTAACAAAGAGGTACAAAGTGCTGCTTGCCACCCACACTCTCCAGGAGCAGCTTCTCTCCAGCCTGACTCAGCAGCAATAACTGTGCCCTGGTGGGGCTGACACTACAATAACAGCAGCACTGCAGCGACAGACAGTGGGACAGAGCAGGGCAGAGCCAGAGTCTGTCTGGAGACACTGCTCAGAAAACCTCTGAGAAAGCTCTCCACCTCCAGTACAGCCTTTACTACTTATCCCACACACCCTCTCCCCAGCAAACTTTTGTAAAATAAATACTCCCTCTGAAAAGAAAAAATAATCCAGAAACTGGGGGGGGTTGTAGTGTATTGTGAAAATACTACTGAAAATATTTACTGGATAAATTTACAAGGCAAGAACCCAGTAAGAGTCTGAACTCCCTCCCTGCCTCCTTCCTGTTACATTCAAGAGTTTGCATTACACTTGGCATTCTCCTAAACGTGTTTTTGTTTGTCTTCAAACTACCTGGCAGATTTCAAAAGCCCAAACCTCCTGTGTTGAAAATTCCAGGTGCAATAGCAAGGAAATGCTGGAATACACTGTAAGAGCAGCGTTAAGTGAATATAAATGCTACTGCCCAGCATAGGCAAGAGGAAGCTTCTATTGCAAGGAGTTACTGAAAGTGCAAAAGGTAAGTGTAAAATCCAGTTTTATAGAGAACTCCACAAGTGCTCACAAAACAGGTATTTTCGGTGCCCATTTGAAAACTGTCTCAGAAATTCTCTAATTTACAGTGGGATTTTTTCCCCTCCCTTTTAATTTCTCTGATTTGGAGGAAGTTTTCTTGTCACTCAGACACTGCCTCCATTTTAAAAATAGATGTCAGAGCTTCATGTTCATAACTGTTTACATAAGCAGTCTCTAATAAAGCTTCAGTTATTCTATTTACCTTCAAAGCAATTTATTTTGGAAGACTGCACTTAAACATCAAAAGATCTTTTAATAAAAACAGAAAGCCATCCAAGACCAGCAAAAACTAATGAATTTTTAAACAAAACTACCGATGTAGTTGTTTGTCTGCCTGTTTAATTCATGAGTTCATTTAAAACATATTACGTTTTAGGTTATCTTGTTCTATGCTGTGTACAAAACAATCTCTACACTATTGCAATGTTATTACAAAAGGCAATGGAGCACCTGGTTTGGTGGCACAGACATTTTATCATACCAGGAGTACACAATGACAAGGGAAGTTTTTCACCCTTCTGTGACCCTATCATAATTATTCTGTTAGAATTCTGTTTCACCATTCTCTCAAAGGTTTTGAGACAGAATTATTAAACTAGATCAGCTTCAAGAGTTCAGCTCCTCTACTCCAGGCCCCTGCTCAGTCACCCCTGTGGTCTCATTTCTGCACTGTAAGAAGCTGTATGGCCCCAGCAGGTTCAGAAAAAGAGGTCCATTTACAAACAGTGGGAACAGGAAAATGCTGCTGTGCTCACCACTGCAGTGGAACCAACCACTTGAAAAGAGTGCAGGCAGGCACTGAGGAGCTGCTATAGAAGATAATCCAGGTTTTCCTCTTTTCTCTCCCCCATCCCAGCTGAAGTCCAGTTGCTCCCATCCTGTCTAGAACTAAGAAAATCGTTAAAAGATGAGTGAAACAAGTGTCCTTGTGGCCAAGGAGGCTGGTGGGATCCTGGGGTGCATCAGGAAGAGCACTGCCAGCAGGTCAGGGAGGGGATC